GCTCCTCCAGCCCGGGGCCACAGCGGAAGGTAGGGTTGCCAGGCATTCAGTTTTTGACGGGAACACCTGGTCGAAAAGGGACCCTGGCAGCTCCGGCCGTTAAAAGTCCAGTCGGTGGCACAATGGGAGCCCGGCGCTAGGGCAGGCAGGGAGCCTGCTTTAGCTCCGTGCGACTCCCAGAAGCAGCTGCCAGGTTCGTGCGGCCCCTAGACATACGTGTGGCGAGGAAAGCTCCATGTGCTGCTCCCACCCTTAGTGCTGGCTCCACAGCTCCCATTGGCTAGGAGCCGTGACCAATGGGAGCTGGGGGGATGGCGCCTGCAAGCGCAAGGGCAGCGCGCAGAGCCTTCCTGGCCACCCATGTGCCTAGGGGCTGCAAGGACCTCGTGCCCTTTTCCTGGGAGCTCTGGTAAGTGCTACCAGGACCCTGCATCCCAGCCCCCTGGCCCAGCCCGGAGCCCGCTCCTGCACCCCAAACTCCTCATCCTGGCCCTACACCCAGACAGAGCCCTCACCCCCCCCCCTGCACCCCAACCCCCTACCCCGCCCAGAGTCCCCTCCTGCATCCAAACTGCCTCTCGGAGTCTGCACCTTGCACCCTCTCAACACCTCAATCCCCTGCCCCTGTCCTGAGTCCCCTCCTGCATCCCAAACTCCTCATCCTCGGTCCCAGCTCATAGACCCCAGCTCATAGACCCCAGCCGGAGCTTGCACTCCCTTCCATACTCCAACCCCCTGCCCCAGCCCAGAGCCCCCTCCTGCCCCCCAAACTCCTCCTCCCCAGCCTAGAGCCCACATTCCCAGCCAGAGCCCTCACCTCCTCCTGCACCCCAACCCCCTGCCCCAGCCTGGAGCCCTCTCCTGCACCCTGAACCCCTAATTTCTGGCCCCACCTGGAGCCCACACCCCCAACCCAGAGACCATACCTTCTGCACCACAACCTCCTGCCCCAGCCTGGTGAAATTGAATGAGGGTGGGGCAGAGTGAGCGACGGAAGGAGGGGGATGGAGCGAGCAGGAGCGGAGTCTTGGGGAAGGGGTGGAGCAGAGGCAGGGCTGGGAGTGGGGCAGCAGTGTTCGGTTTTGTGCCATTGGAAAGTTCGCAACCCTAGTGGAAGGAGATTTTTCTGGGTGCGCCAAATTGGCAAGGGGGCCCCATGGCCCATGTGGTAATCTGTCACTGAGCCTGCCTCTTGGGTTGGAGCCCCAGCCCTCCACACACACATTGTTGTGACTCAGGTCAGTGATAGGAGGAGGGTGACCATATTTCCCAAAGAGAAATCAGGACACCATGCGGTGTCTAGGAGGTCTTCCCTCCCATGCGTGGGGTTGGCCTTAGGCGGTCCCCATGGCCCCGTGTGGGGCTGGCCCAAGATGCCTGGCATCACTGCTCACCCAAGCCCCACCGTGTAGGGCTGGCGTTGCTGCTCGCTTCCCCCCTGAACATTCTTCCACACCTTATTATGGGGGCATTCCCCATGTTTTTGGCAAAAATAGGCATTTGTCCCGCTTGCCCTTTCCAACTGATCATCACTTGGCAAGAGCAAGTGGGACAAATGCCCAGTTTTGCCAAAAAAATTAGGATGTCCGGGACAGGGCTTAAAAAGGGGACAGTCCCAGCCAAAACAGGACATACGGTCACTGTCGTTAGTGAGTGCTCTGGGGGGCACGGATCAGCGTTCACCTCGTGCTCCCCATCAGTACCCAGCCCAAGCTGGGGGGAAGCTAATGATCCAACCAGTGGACCAAATTCGGTGATGAATCCTGGCCACATGCCTGAGGTATGTTGCACATATGCTAAGAAGAAGAGCGCACTCTAGACCTGGGTCCTAGGCCCTGCTAGTGGGGGTGGGTCACGGCCAAAGTCTCCCTGAGACTTGGGTCCAAGCCCTGCCATTTCACAGTGTGGATGCAACTCAAGAGACAGATCCGAGTCGGATGGTCTGTGTAGTGCAGTATGGATGCATTAGCATGGCTGTGAGACCAGGGTCCAGCAATTCTAAGCCCAATTTACAGTTCAGTGTGGACGCTCAAGTGTAGACTTGGAAACACTGAGTCCACAGACTTGGGTCCCACAGACCCAGGTTTTATAATGCAGTGTAGACATACCCTGGGAGGTGCCCTTTGTGAGATGGGATGGGGCAGGCAGTCTGGGTCCCTAATGCTAGTCATCCACCTGGTCTCTTGTTGTACAAATAGAAAAGGAGTACTAGTGGCACCTTAGAGACTAACCAATTTATTTGAGCATAAGCTTTCGTGAGCTACAGCTCACTTCATCGGATGAAGTGAGCTGTAGCTCACAAAAGCTTATGCTCAAATAAATTGGTTAGCCTCTAAGGTGCCACAAGTCCTCCTTTTCTTTTTGCGGATACAGACTAACACGGCTGCTACTCTGAAACTTGTTGTACAAATGTTTCCAAGGCTTCTAGCTCGAAGAAAGTGATGGAAGGGCCAGCGACCCAGAAGAAGAAGGTGGCACCCAAGCTGGTACTCACTGAAGAACAGAAACAGCAGTTGCGAGAGGCCTTTGATTTGCTTGACACCGACGGCACCGGTACAGTCGACGTAAAGGACTTGAAGGCAAGCAAGAAATCACAAATACACTGTGTGCTTGTTGCAAAAAGGCCTAGAGCAGCAGACAGTAAAACAGGTCTAGTGCTGTAGCTTTCAATGCTAAAATTTGTGATTTCAAGAAAACTCAGGGGTTTTGGTAAGAGGGGGTTTCCTCCAGCTCCATACTTCTCACCTGACTGCTGGGTCCCCTGCCAGCTGCCCCCTTCTTCTCCAACATCAGTCTTTGGGGTATAGCTGACCAGACAAATCAGGGACATGGATCCAGAGACTCAGTTTTGTGGTTGTGGGTAAGAGTCTAAGAAATCTTCCACTGTCATGCAAACCACTTTATTTCATATCCAAAGTAAAGATCTTTTCTGTTGCATTCACATTTGCTGCACTAAGATAACATAGTCTATATAGTAGGAACTTTATTCTGAGGTTTCCAGAAACCAGGTACTACTGCATAATACACTTTGTGTGATTCATTACAACTAACGGATAATACTGCAGTAAAAATGAAACACACATTCTTTATCTCCGTCTATGTATGTAACCCCTACTGGTGCAATAAATATTTCCCAAATCATCTATAATTGGTAGGTGTTTGAGGAGATTAGATGCTTCAAAGGCTTGGGAATGGGATGTAGTGCGTTTCGCTTCCAGATTGCTGGGTCAAATCCAACCCAAGGCAGTAGTGACTGAAAGGCATTGCCATTTGATGGCATACATTTTGTAGAGTGTAATAAATTTTGTAGAGTCTCAGTCCTGGTATCCCAATCACAGGAGAAAACCACACCATAAGTGGCATTCATTGATCTTGTTGGCATCTCAGCAGAGGTGCCAGTTTGAATGGACCTTTCAGACTGAACATGCTCAGACCTCTTAGCGGTAGTCCCTCCAGGGAAAGTTTGAGGCACATTGGAAAGGCAGGGTGACGGAAGTCTGCACTGCTGCAGTCCATTCTGTATCTGTTTCTATGTTCCAGATAAACAGGTTCAGCCTTCAGGGCTGTTGATCTGGCATGTTTAACCAACACTAAATTCTGTCTCATACACTATTTAAAGGACACTATCCACTTAAAAGTCACATTTCTGTCTGACCTAATTGAACAGATTAGAGAAGGAAAAACATTTTCTTCTATTCCTGCCCCCCTCTATTTGTTTACACAGCACTTCTGACAACAATTTGGGAAGAGTCAGTTTCACTGTTTCCTCTTTCTGGTAAATCAGTTTCCCCTGTGTGTATTTGGGACTGTCACACAGAAGCAAAGGAGAGAAAAGCATTTTAAACTGTGTGTGTGTGTGTGTGTGTGTGGTGGGGGGGAGGGGGGAGTATTGTGAAACTTCAAAAATTGGTAGAGAGACTCAGGTCTTGGTGTAGTATAGTATCATTCATTGGTGCTGTGAACTGGATGCTTTAATTCTGAATGCCAAAAAGCAAATTTATAAGGTCAAAGACATCAGGGTCTTGTCCAGAATAACTGCTTCACATGCAGTGCAGGCCATCTGCGACACCTGCTCTTTGTCATGTCCATTGCCTTGCTAGCATTTATTATTTGACTTGCTGTAGCACCTTGTGGTTCCATCCCCATTTTTTTTCATAGTGTGTGATGTGGTTTCAATTGTCTCCCCCTCTTCGCTTCTGTTTGCATTGCCAGCCTATTTTCCATGTTTGCAGGTGTCCATAAGGGCCCTTGGGTATGAACCCAAGAAAGAAGAGTTGAAGAAAATTATATCAGAAGTTGATAAGGAAGGGTCAGGGAAGATCAACTTTGATTCCTTTTTGTATGCGATGACTCAGAAAATGGTATGTAAATCAGGTTAGCCACAAAGGTCCTGGGCATCCTTAACATGAAGGGCTTTGATGGGAATTTAGAAAACTTAAGACCCAAGAGAGTCCAGCATTTCCCATTCAATACTAACCAGAATTCAATAATATTAGAAAGAGGGGGCGGGGGGAGAAGCCAGGTTGGCTGCTAAAGACAATCATGAACAAACAAGCGATAAATCAAACAAACAAGAACAATTTAGCATCCATAGAGAAATCCTTATGCAAGACCCACTGAAACACTTCAGTCCTACCTGTCGTGCCACCTCTGACATCTGCCCTTTCCCTCAGTAGATCTAATCCACCTCAGTCCTAAATTGGCCCACTACTAGGATATTCCAGTCCTGGTCCCTCATACTCTTCTTGCAACTTTGTTCATGGCTTTTCCTTAAGTAATAAAAGAGAATGGCAAATGTTAAATAGTGGCAACAAATGAACTCCGTAGTGGCCAGGTGCCATCCAAGATATCCTCTTAGCTTAGATTCTTAGTAATATGCATGAGAAGGGATATTAGAATGCTGGTGGTTCCCCTTCACATTTGCGTATCATTGTTCTGCGCTTCTTTGTTAAGTCTGAGCCAGAATCCAGAGAGGACATTCTGAAAGCCTTCAAGCTCTTTGATGACAATGGAACTGGCAAAATCTCTTTCCAAAATCTCAAACGTGTGGCTGGTGAGATTGGGGAAAACCTCACAGATGAGGAGCTGCAGGTTTGTAATGTACATCTCTTTGCCTTCGCACAATGTTGACATGAGTCTTTGTTTCATGGAAGATTAATTTAGCTATTAGGGAAACTGTGCAATGTTCTGAATCCGTCTTACCTTCCTAGTGGCATCTTCTCGTTGCTACTCTAGTTTGTGAGTGTGTAACACCGACAGACCCCGGTCACTGGCGGGCAGGATCAAACCTGGGGCCTCTGGAGCTTAGTGCATGAGCCTCTACTGAATGAGCTAAAAGCTATATGGCTATTAGCTAAGGCTGTAGAGCAGACTCATTAATCAATCTCTCTCTCTGTCAGTGGTCTCCAACCTTTTTATGCCCAAGATCACTTTTTGAATTTAAGGGCAACCCAGGATCTATCCCGCCCCTTCCCCAAAGCCCTGCCCTGCTCACTCCATCCCCACCTCTCTCCATCGCTTGCTGTCCCCCACCCTCACTCACTTTCACCGGGCTGGGGCAGAGGGTTGAGGTTAGGGAGGAGGTTCAGGGCTGGGGCAGGGGGTTTGGGGTGCTGGCTCTGGGAGGGGGCTCAGGGCTGGGGGTTGGGGTGCGGCCTCCCGCAGGGTGGCACTTACCGCAGGCGGCTCCCTGTCGGCGGCGCAGCGAGGCTAAGGCAGGCTTCCTGCCTGCCCCGGCCCCACACCGCTCCGGGAAGGGGCCAACATGCCTCTGCGGCCCCTGGGAGGGGAAGCGGGGGCACGTGGCTCTGCATACTGCCTCTCTACAGGCACCGCCCCCAAAGCTCCCACTGGCCACTGTTCCCCATTCCTGGCCAATGGAAGCTGTGGGGGTGGTGCTTGCAGGCAGGAACAGCAGCGCACAGAGACCCCTGTCACCCCTCCCTTCCCTGGGGCTGTGGGGGCATGCTGGCCGCTTCTGGGAGTGCATGGGGTCACGGCAGGCAGGGAGCCTGCCTTAGTGGCATCCTTGCTACACCGCCAGAGATCGCGATCAACTGGGAGAGTCCCTAGGATCGACAGGTTGGTGACCACTGCTCTAAGTGGTCTCAGTGCCACTAGATGGGACAGAACACCATACCCAGGAGGTGTGTGGGTTACATACTTCCCCTAGTTGAGGAAATGTGTCCTGAGCTTCAGAGACTTCCCAGTTCAAATCCCGAACGAGCTCCCCCTTGTAACACTGATAGACCCCCGTCGTCGGTGGGCGGGATCGAACCTGGAGCTTCTGGAGCTTACTGGATGAGCCTCTATCACATGAGCTGAAAGCCATATGGCTATTAGCTAAGGATTTAGAGCAGACTCATTAGTCCAGGGGTGGGAAAACTATGGCCCGTGGTTCGCATCCAGCCCACCAGCCATTTTAATCCAGCCCTCAAGCTTCCGCTGGGGAGCGAGGTCTGGGGTTTGCCCCACTCCAGCGCTCCAGCTGGGGAGCAGGGTTGGGGGCCGCTCCATGCGGCTCCCAAAAGCAGCTGCATGTGTCCTCTCCGGCTCCTAGGGGCAACCAGGGGGCTCCGCATGCTGTCCCCTGCCCCAAGTGCCGCTCCCATAGATCCCATTGACTGGGAACCGTGGCCAATGGGAGCTGCAGGGACAGCACCTGCAGACAGGGCAGTGCGCAGCAGAACCGCCTGGCTGTGCTTCCGCGTAGGAGCCGGAGTGGCGTCATGCTGCTGCTTTAGGGAGCTGCTTGAGGTAAGCGCTGCCCCGAGCCTGCACCCCTGAGCCACTCTCTCATGTCCCAACTCCCTGCCCCAGCCCTGAGCCCCTCTCGCCCTCCAAACACTTCGATCCCAGCCCGGTGCAACTTCCTGCACCCCAAACCCCGCACCCACAGCCGGAGACCTCACCCCCTGGTACCTTCTCTCCACCCCAGCCCAGAGCCCCTTCCTGTACCCTGAACTCTTCATTTTTGGCCCCACCCTGCAGCCTGCACCCCCAGCCAGAGCCTTCACCCCCTCCCGCTCCCCAACCCCAATTTCGTGAGCATTCATGGCCCGCCATACAATTTCTATACCCAGATGTGGCCCTCGGACCAAAAAGTTTGCCCACCCCTGCATTAATCTCTCTCTCTCTCTCTGGCTATGTCTACACTGGCAATTGAACAAAACAATTTTGTCCCGACAAGTGCCAGCGTGAGCAGCGCATTGTCTTCAGGAGCGCTCTCCTGCTGACAACGCAAACACTGCTCGTTCTGGGTGCAAGGTTTTTGTTGGCAGGAGAGCTGACAAACAGCGGCTAAACGGCACGCATTTTAGCAGGACGGCTGTGGCGACACAGCCATGTTGCTAAAAGCTGTTAGGGTAGACAAGGCCTAAGTGGTCTCAGTGCTACTAGAATTGGACAGAACACCACACCTGGGAGGTGTGTGGGTTATAGGTGGGGAGAGGGGATTATGAGAGGGGATTTCTGCCTTCATCTGAAACATCAAATATTAGCCAGAGAGGGAGGGAGGATATTGGATTTGACACAGAGGATCGGCTGTGACAAATTATTTGTTACTTAGTGCAGATAAGCAATAATCATTCCCTTAATAGATAACAAGACTGGAACATTCCTTTCTTACCTTTCTCTTTGCTTTAGGAGTCTTTCCTGGAACTCTCCCATTTCCATATACCTAAAAGGGTCATTCGCTTTTTTTAGTTCCTATGCAATGAATGGGCAATGCAAAGTGATGTATGATTTATCATGGCCAGTCATGGTTACATCTCATCTGATGAGAGCATTGTTTCATTTGTGATATGTGGCTACTCTCATTTGGCTTTGCAATTCTCCTTTTTTGCACCACTTAGATTGACATAGTGCTTCTCAACTGTATATATTTATATAAAAATCATCACAGGTCAGTAATGCATTGTAAAGACAGAGCAGTTGGAATTTTACAATTGATCAAACTCCAGGAATTCAGAGCAACATGCCTGGACAGGAGCAGAACCAGTAACATATTTTCTGACCATAGAGGGTCTTGTTGATAAAACGATTAAAAGAAATCTGTGCTTAATAACAAAATGGATAAGGAAAAATCCCACTGGCAATCTTTTTTTTCCTTCTTAGTCTGACATTTACATCCCTTTTCTGGGCGAGCACAGTAGCCCATACACTATTGCAGCCACTTCTTACAGCTTTTAAACTCCGACTCTTCACTGTGTCCTCACCAGTGGCTTAGTGGAGTTGCAGTGCTCTGGATTTTCACTGTTGCAATACAGCAGGAACTTCTTCCCCAGCACTATATTACCCAATGCATAGCCTGAAATAGGGTAAGTGCTTTGAATACTTCGGATGTGAAAGCTGCTTGAATAAAATCCTGTTTGCTTTCCATTCCTCTCCCCTAATCTGCTTTAATGTACTTCTGGGTGCAGTTTGCCCCTTTGTAGAGATCCAGCACAAGAGCTATGCACTGCTTAGGTCCCATATAAGCCCTATTTTGAGTGTGTGTTGCATAGACCTTGTGCTGAAACTCTGAGAAGGGATGAATTCCTTCTTCTCTGAGCCCACCTAATCTGGTCTCTGAATCCTTACTGTTCTGCAGGAAATGATTGATGAAGCAGATGTGGATGGAGATGGGGAAGTGAATGAACAGGAGTTCCTGCGGATTATAAGGATGAACAGCATGTAGCTAGAAGTTTTTCTTTTCTTTTTACTCAAATTTTTAAATACAGTTGGTAGGTACACCTGTTTTTTCTCCAGCCCCTCTTCATTCTCCTGGGGTGAAAAATGGGGGATCACCATCAGAATTTTTCAGAATCATGGTTGCAGTGGGACTGAATGACTGATTTTTAGCTGTCTATATCCTAATGTTTGATTCCATTGCAGAATTTTTAAATGATCTCAGGTAGCATTCTGGGTGTAGGGTAAATATTGACTTGTTTGTTGATTGTTTTCATGTTCCAATGTGATAACTTCATTCCCCTTTTAATTGCTTCCAAAAAGGCAGGGGAATAGACTTTCATGAATAACAGGAAATATTTTTTAAAATGTACTTTTTAAGAAGGAACCAATCCCAGAGATTGATCCCAGAAACCCAGATCAAAATCTGTTCCTGGCACATACTTAGGCCCTGATCCTGCAATCAGATCCATGCTGGTGGACCCTGTGCCCATGCAGAGACCCATTGACTTCAAAGGGGCTTCATGCAGGGTCCATCCATTCAGAGCCAATTGCAGAATGGGTTCTTATTTGTCTGTAGCATATGCCTAGAAAGTGAGATGCATGTATCTGAGACTTTTTAAGTTAATTTTGATTTAGCCCAGTGTGGGAATTTGAGGTGTTTCACTTTAGCAATGGGAGAGTCCCAGTGCAGTGAATTGGTATAGAAGATGCATTGCAGATGGTGAACTCTGTCATCACCCTTCCTGAAGTACACACTGATTTGTTATCAGTATTTTATCCTCTGGCCTGATTTTGCACTCTGTTTTGGGAAATACTGTGTTCATTTGTTATATCCATTGGCGCTAATTATTTTCTGTATCCCAATAAAACTTGTTTATAACTTTTTCTCTTCATGGATTAGTTCTTTTCACTGCTTTGGACTTTTCATCCCTAGCATGATATTCCACATAAATGTTTCCCTTTTATAATTTCATGGATGAACTTTGGTACCCAAGCCTACTGCATTGTGGATCTCCTGCACCCCACAGAGAGCGATTCCGGGGCTAGTGGGAGAGGACTCCTGCTTTCTGTATGCTAGAGAGTAACTTGGAGAGCAAAGACTGTAGAGGCACAGGGTCTCCATACAGCTCACTCTGGCCACTAGCAGTTCCCTTGAGATCCATGCATAGCGTCATGGTATTTAATACTAGGGTTTTTGCATGAGGCCTTAAACGTGGAGTGTGACATATTGGGCATACGTCTGTGTCAAACTGTGAACTCCCTTTTGTTTTGTGAACACCATTTCTGATTGTAACCTTCATTGTGGGCTTCCCTTTACTTGTAACCTCCATATTGGATTAAGGCACCCACTTTGTGCTGAAACCCAACCTGGCCCTGACAAGACTATCTGTTCTAGACGCTGTCCTGTTCACGCTGGGCTGTAGGACACTTCAAGGAGGGCTAACAATGAGAGAGCCATTAAGGGCCATCAAAGTTGAATGACTCTTTACTTCCTAGTGGAACAATGGGTTTTCTATCAGTAGCGCCATTGACTTTGAATGACTGTCTACCCAGAAGCCTCTTGTGGAGCTGGAGCCTGGAATTCCTCTAGATGAAACACATGGGCAAAAAGGGGGCAAAGATGGGTGCTTTCGAGCCAGGGGCCAGACCACTACCACATGCCAGATGACCAGGCTAAGGAGAGGAAAGGCAGGAAGGACTGTCTAGCCTATGGATTCTGGTCAAACCTAGGACTCGCAGGAAGGGTGAGATCAGACTCAGGGTGTGCATTTAGGACTCATTTCTTTTTTCCCAAAAATCTGTAATTCTCTAGTGCTTTCAAGGTTAAAAGCATCTGTAGATAAGAAATTCATTTGCTAAGCCTGTGCTCCTTGCTTGCCTGCCATCTAGCCCCTGAAAGGGTTAATCAGGCTCAGAATGGTGGAACTCATATCTAATGTGTATGAACAACTGTGGGCTCAGGAGGTCCGAGACACTGGTTTCAGGGATAAAGTGTCGGGCTGCAGAGTCCCACATCCCAAGGAAGGGATTCAGACATGAGGCCTGTGCCTGGGAATGTGCCTTAAAGACTCAGAGCTAGGAACAGCGACCAAGGTCAGATCAGACCCATTTAGCTTAAGAGCACGTAGGAATCAGAGGTTGGGTCCAGTCACAACAGACTAGTGTCTGTCCAGGGAGGAGGGCTGCACCACGTTATGACATTGAGGTCCTGTCTGGTCTGCATGGATATTAAAGGCAGTTTAAATGAGAGCAGAGGTTTGGCCCTGTGATCTTTGGCCAAAATCTCCCTTCATCTCCACTGTGGTGCTGTGTCTTGTTTGCAGGTTGGGTCATCCTCTTCCCCAGAGATGGTTGCATTTCAGAGGGTGCCATATGTATCTAGTTTGCAAAGCACTCCAGGATCCTTTGGAATGCAGATTGCTATATAAGTGGAAAATATTTAGTTAGCAGAAAGCAACCAAAATTCCAGAAGCTTATCTACGGTTTTATATCATGTGCAGCACTTCTCAAGACCAGATTTATGGGGGATCATTTTGGATCTGCTAAGTCAGGACCTCTCTAACTGTGGCTGTCCATTCACCAGTTGGCTAAAGAAATTAAGATACCCCTAGAAGTGCTAGCTAAGTGGGGGTGTATGTTTGACCACATTCTGGGAGGCCAGTTTGTGGTTGTATTATTTGAATTTGTTTCTATGAATCGTGTGTGTGTCTATACTAGGTTTGTCTCCTGTAGCACAAAAGAAATTCTAACAATGGTGCAGGCCCATTGCTATAGACTGTAATCAGGTCACCGGTTAAGCTTCTTGCCTTGATTGTTTTCACAGGGCATGTAACTGGTAGTTCCCTCCATCCCCATTCTGCTGGAGCAAAGGCAAAGCAATGCAATGCACAGTATTCATTAATATAATGTGAAATACAAAAATAAATTCTGGTGTTCAATCAAACAGAGGCCAGCATATATATGATATTTGTAATTTTATTCAGTAGAAATGACACGTTTTTGAATAATGAATAATGAATACCAGCTCATCTCTAGTTATCAGTGTTGTTAGGGTCTCTTGGGAATACAAGCCCCGCAGTGTCTTTCGAGGGAATCTAAGTCATCTAAAAATTAAATACTCTTTCCCAACCATAGATGACTGAAAGGGATTTAGACTAGGGAAGTCTAACTTTGCCTGGATGAGGAGGAGAATGATGGACTCTGAGGATGGAGCTTTGTGCACACATTTTCTTGGGTTGGCTTCCAAGTTCCACAGAAAAAGTCAAAAATGAAGTTTTGATAGGAAATAGCTCCCTCCTTAGAGGTTTTACTGTCTATGTCCGCATGTCTAAGAAACTTTCAAAGCTTACATTCCATGCCGTTTCCGAGGGACTGAAGCATTATGTTTGTGTGTGACACCCCTTTATATGTTGGCAAAGATGCATCATATCTCAGAAGGGAAAAAAGCCCATTAGTATCAAAATTCTAGGACTTTAGATAAACTGATGGAAGTTTCAGGTCAATCCCTCGGAGTCTGGAACAACCCAGAAAACTCCTCTGCCATATAGCCACCTAATGACAATTGCTACGTGTCAGGCCACTAGAAGCAGCAGGCGCTGGCCCCCAGCTCCAGTCCCGGGTTTCAGCCGTGCCATGGCAGGCGCTGGCCACAGGCACCGATCCCCAGCCCCAGCTGCACAGCAGTGGGTTCCAACCATGGGGCTTTGGGTGCCAACCCCTGGCTCTGGCCACAGGGCAGCAGGTGCTGACCCCCGGCTCTGGCCATGGAGCTTCAGTTGCCCTCTGGCCCCTATTTCCTGCTGTGCGGTGGCAGGTGCTGGCCCCGGGCTCCAGCCATGTGGCCTTAGCCCCTGGCACTGATCCCCTGCCCCAGCTGCACAGTAGCAGGCGCTGACCCACAGCTCTGTTCCAGGGCTCCGGCCACATGGTGGCAGCAGCTGGCCCCAGGTGCTAACCCCTGGCCCTGGCTGTGCAGCAGTGAGTGCTGGCTTCAGCCATGCAGGGTGGGCACTGATTCCTGGATCCAGCCATGCATTCCTGGGCTCCAGCATCCAACTCTGGTCTCTCGCTGTGCAGCGGCAGGCACTAGCCATGGGCGCTGAATGACAGTTCTGACTGTATGGCAGCGGGCTCCGATGCCTGGTTCCAGCCATGCAGTTCCTGTCCATAGCTCTGGGTTCTGGCCACGGGCACTGAGCCCCAGCCCTGGCTGCATGGCAGCAGACACCAGGCCCTGGCTCTGGCCATGCAACAGTGGGGCTCATCACCCACCCCCATCGCCCCAGGCCCCTGCTGCCTCCCCTGGCCCCGCATCCATCCCACCATCGCCTCCCCAACTAGGGCTTAATGGGTCCTGGGGCTTTCTGAGAAAAGTGATATTAACAAACATGGAAGTATCACTTCTGCCAGCAGACTTACTAGCTATCTGTGAAAAGTAATACTTCCATGTTTGTTAATATCACTTATCACTTTTCATAGCCTCCCAGGTAGCTACTAAGTATGCTGTGATATTAACAAATATACGAATATCACTTTTCACAGCAAGCCCCAGGACCCACTAAGCCGTGGATGGAGGGTGGGGGGGGAGGGGTTAAAGGGGGAGACAGCATTATTTTTGTTATTGAGTCTGCCAAAAAACCCTACAAATACACATTATAATGATTTGGATGTGGATCTGTGCATATTTAATTGTTTTTCCTAAAGTTAATTAAGTATTTTATGAAAAAAGTGTCCACGCAGCCACCAGTGAGAGTTGGTGGCCGCACTCTGAGGCCACCAAAATTTTTGTTGTGAGAACCCCTGGTCTAGATTTCTCCCTCCTTGGTAGCTAGCAGCGGTCCAATGGGAAAGGGCCTAGTGATATTAGAAATAAGCTTCGCGGCTCAAGGGTGTAGGGAGAAGGAGAGCAGTGGCCCACTCTCAGTGGCTGCTCTCCATCGATATGTATCTGAAGTTTATTTCAGAAGACTTGGATTCCCATAATTTTCCAACATGTTCTGTATTCAGGCGTTCAGGCAAGTTTCAGCACTTCTTTGATCATTTTTCCAATACCATCATAGACCTCATGGACTGGGGCGTTGCACATGAAGGCACTGGTTGTCACCAGCTTGTTGTTCACATCCACATGAATCTCACCTACGTGTTTGTTCACGTGTTTGCAGCCAAGTTCCTTCATGGCCTCTGCAGTCTTTGCATAGGGCCACCTAAAGGAAGAAGTGAGAAAAAACCAGGTGCGTGTAGGTGATCCTGACACAGAGAGATGCTGCCAAGGCCTTAGATGGAAAGGATCCTTTCTCATTAGGTGCCCCACAGCAGTAGCTAGGAGTCTGCCATTGCTAAATAAATACCCCTCAGGTAAGAGACTACTGTGTGAAAGACAGTGTGTACTGTGGCAGAGAAATTCCTCAGAAGTCAAGGAATTAAGCAAACTTTATATGCTCCCTCTTCCTCACTAAAGTAATCAAAAAGTCTCAGTAAATTTAAACATTAAGACTTTAGCGTCCCTCGGTAAAGCTACAGGAAGCCCCCCTCCCACCATGTACCTGTACTGGGTTATTGACCAACTCTTCTCAAACAAGTTAACTCTCCCTCAAACAGCAGATAGCACAATAGATTTCCTGCCACTGGGATAATTCAGCCCCAGCTTTGAGGCCCTTTACTGCGATGTTCTCAGCCTGATTAGCAGAGGAGAAGAGGTATTGTGGCAGTATGTACCATAAATGACACAATGAGCATTGTGAATCAATAGCCTGGTGTCTTTCCTACCCTTGGGCTGTGAGAGAGGTGGACTGGTGTGCTGCGTTGATCCTTCAGGATCAGATTTTGCACTAGGGCTCTGCGACACTTACTTCTCACATTCTTTGTCCTGTCCAACTGTCAGCTCGCATCCTGGGAAGATTTTGGCTGCCAGGACTGGGGAGATGCAGCACATGCCAATGGGTTTCTTGGCAGCATGGAATGCCTTCAAAGTGTCCTCCACAACTTTAGAGACCGTGCAGTTCTTCCCCTGTGTTGCCCAAGTACTGAGGTTCTTAGCCACTCCAAAACCACCTCAGAATAGGGAAACAGGTTAAAAATAGGTGATTGTTTGAATATAGGATTTTTTTTTGCCAACTCAGCTATTTCACTAAAATGCTTAAGTGGACTTAGTGCAGAAAACCTGGATTTATGCAGGAAATAGCCCGACTTGATTATGTAAAGAGTTGTCACTTTGGATGGGCTAGCACCAGCAGGAGAGTGAATTTGTGTGGGGGGGGTGGAGGGTGAGAAAACCTGGATTTGTGCTGGAAATGGCCCACCTAATGATCACTTTAGATAAGCTATTACCAGCAGGACAGTGGGGTGGGAGGAGGTATTGTTTCATATTCTCTGTGTATATATAAAGTCTGCTGCAGTTTCCATGGTATGCATCCGATGAAGTGAGCTGTAGCTCACGAAAGCTCGTGCTCAAATAAATTGGTTAGTCTCTAAGGTGCCACAAGTACTCCTTTTCTTTTTAGTGCAGTGTGGCATTTATCCATGGTCCAAACATATTTCAGTAAAACCTCAGCAAGCCACCACATCCTCTGAATACCTGCAGCTCCCTCTTAGGCCTGGCATAGCTAAGTCAGTTAGGAGTATTGGAAAAAAAAAAATCACACTCCTGACAGATATAACAATGCCGGCAAAGAAAAGAAAAGAAAAGCAGAGACAGTTCCACCAGCTGACGAGTACCTTATTCAGTATCGCTTATTTAATTCAGGCAACTGGTATAAGCTGTCCTGGCATCAGAACTCTTTTGCCAGTATAAACTGCATCACTGCTACATGGGTTTGCTGATATAGCTCGACTGGTGTAGTTATGCTGGCAAACTAGTACAAACAAGGCTGTAAGCCTTACCTGCCAATTACCGGCCAATAGAAACTGCAAAGAATCCTCGTGGTCTCTAAACAGAGTTCATCTGGAGATGTATTAGTGCTTTATTCACCAACCCATTCTCTTATTTTTCTAATCATCTAAGGTCTGATCCTGTGCTCACTGAAGTCAATAGCCACACTTCCATTAGTTACAACAGGTTCAGGAGTGATTGAGCTTTTTGTCATTTGCTCTTCCATTACCCCTCTGTGATTCTCCTGTCTGTGCTAGTGGCTGTACCAGGTACATCTTGATGATATTGTCTACGAAAGTCAAGGAAAGAGAAGCATGGCAGGTACTGTGGTGGACCAGAAGTAGTGTGGCCCACTGACTAGAGCACTGAGGGGGTCAGCAAACATGTGGACAAGGGGGATCCATTGGAAATAGTGTACTTAGATTTCCAGAAAGCCTTTGACAAAGTCCCTCACCAAAGACTCTTACATAAATTAAGTTGTTAGGGGACAAGAGGGATGATCCTTTCATGGATGGAGAACTGGTTAAAAGACAGGGAACAAAGGGTAGGAATAAATGGTAAATTTTCAGAATGGAGAGGGGTAACTAGTGGTGTACCCCAAGAGCCAGTCCTAGGAGCAATCCTATTCATAAATGATCTGGAGAAAGGGGTAAACAGTGAGGTGACAAAGTTTGCAGATGATACTAAACTGCTCAAGATAGTCAAGACCAAAGCAGACTATGAAGAACTTCAAAAAGATCTCACAAAACTAAGTGATTGAGCAACAAAATGGCAAATGAAATTTAATGTGGATAAATGTAAAGTAATCCACATTGGAAAAAATAACCCCAACTATACATACAATATGATGGGGGCTAATTTAGCTACAACTAATCAGGAGAAAGATCTTGGAGTCATCGTGGATTCTCTGAAGACGTCCACGCAGTGTGCAGCGGCAGACAGTCAAAAAAGCAAACGGGATGTTAGGAATCATTAAAAAAGGGATAGAGAATAAGACGGAGAATATCCCATTGCCCTTATATAAATCCATGGTACGCCCACATCTTGAATACTGTGTACAGATGTGGTCCCTTCATCTCAAAAAAGACATACTGGCATTAGAAAAGGTTCAGAAAAGAGCAACTAAAATGATTACGGGTTTGGAACTGGTCCCATATGAGGAGAGATTAAAGAGACTAGGACTTTTCAGCTTGGAAAAGAGGAGACTAAGGGGGATATGATAGAGGTATCTAAAATGATGAGTGGTGTGGAGAAAGTGAATAAGGAAAAGTTATTTACTTGTTCCCATAATATAAGAACTAGGGGCCACCAAATTAAATTAATGGGCAGCAGGTTTAAAACAAATAAAAGGAAGTTCTTCTCCACTCAGTGCACAGTCAACCTGTGGAACTCCTTGCCTGAGGAGGTTGTGAAAGCTAGGACTATAACAGGATTTAAAAAAGAACTGGATAAATTCATGGAGGTTAAGTCCATGATTTTTGAGTGCTTTTCACTATCTATCTGCTGGTCAGATAAGTGACAGCCTCCCAAGGCTTCTGCAGCTAAGAGGGTCCCTAAGCCTTGTCCCTTATTCGTCTTTCCGCAGAAATGAGTGACCGATCCTGGCTTGGCACCGCTGGAATCGAGAGATGCAAGGAGGGTAAGAAGCACCCACACCTGATCTCCTATCTTTAAGTGTACACATATTTTGAAATAGAGCTCTATACTTTGTTTTCTTTCTTTGGGATTGTGGCTTCAGTTTTGTAACTTGTTTGTGTGTGTAACATCTCTACATTTAAATAAGTAGGCACTAGCAATTTTGTAACCACATGATTAGAATCTAGCTTAATAAATTTTGGTAACCATTTGTGCATAAGCCTGACTTGTTTTCTCTGGTTTACTGTAAAGCAGCCAACACAATTAAAGAACCTCAGCCGTTTTGGCTCTAAAGCCTGGCCATTAGGTGAGAGTACTAAGAGCCTAGCGTTGAGTTGTGCCGCCTCCACGTGGCAAACTCTTGGGGCACCTGTCAGTCAATCCTGGCTGCCCGCTGCGAAGGAGCTCTGAGCTCTAGCAGTTAAAGTCACGGGTGGTTAGGACCTTGGGGCATCCGTCAGCCTAGCCTGGGCTGCCTGCCGCGAAGGGACAGTGCGTCCTAGCGGTTAAAGTCACGGATGGTATAAACGGGCATAGCTGGCACCTCACCAAACATCCTTGGCCGTCGGCTAACAGATTTGGCGTCACAAACAGGATTGTGATATAGGCTGCACTACAGTAACACAATGAAACCAGTCATGATAAACACCACAGAATTCCCTGAGCTAGAGAAAAGTTTGACCCAAGAGGGATGGGGAAATCCTCTGTGGAGCAAAGAACTGCTGGAGAAATATTGGGGAAAGCCAGCAGAGATCTGGCAGCATTTCTGTAACTGGAGAACTGCCTGCAAGATGAAGAAAGGGAAAGGAAAAGGTGCTTGTATATGGCTGCTTAATAACATTTGGCAAGCTGCCTGTAAGGATTATCATAGTCTGGCAATAGAATTTAATAGGCTACAACAGAAAAGGGACACACTGCGCAAGGAATGCCAGAATTTAGATACCAGAGTAAGAACACTGAATAGGGATATGGAACATCTTCAGAAAAGATTACTTCCCTTAATTGAGAAAGAAGGGATAGAACGAAGGGAAAAGCTGGAGACTAAAACACATAGAATCAACCGGGCTAAAGTTGAGACTGCTCTCTGGCTAGACCCTGAGGAATGGGATGGAGACATTTGGGATTCAGCAGATGAGTCCCCCTCCTCTGAGGAGGAAGGTCCCTCTGTAAAATTAAGACCAGCTATCACACATCACAAATCAGAAGAACATGAGGGAAATTTGAGTGGGGCAGAGCTGGATGAAGAAGGGGATGACAATGATCCATCCACCTCTTCAAAAACAAAGAAGGGAGGTAAAAAAGGAGGAAAAGGGAGTAAAGTTCCAACACACTTTACCAAAATTACCACCCGCCAATATACTCCCATGGAGTTAAAAACAATCTAGGGAGATTTTGCTAAAAAGCCTGAGGAAGGTATAATAGAGTGGCTGGTCCGCCTCTGGGACACTGGGGGTGGATATATACGCCTGACAGCCCAAGAAACTGAGCGCCTTAACTTAGGTGCAGGAATATTCCTGGAACATTCAGAGGGGAACACCCCTAAAACACTTTGGTCTCTGGCTTGTCGATGGGCAAGAGGAATTTACCCAGCAGACCGAGATTAACCCACAGTAATGCACTGGACCAACATAGATGAGGTAAAAACAGCTCTATTAACTGTGGCTGTCATTAGCATGCTTGGCCAAAACCCTCAAGAGTTAGCCTATGAAAGTCCATGGGAGGGTCAGGTAAATGTAGATGATCTCAGACCCCTGCTTAAGGGAGCTCCGAGTAACCATAAGGCTATGGCACTGTCCCTTAGATCAGAAGCTGCAGCACATAACAGTACCTTTCAGGCACTGCTAAACCTTCTGGTGTCATACTTTAGAGAATTTGGAGACATCAGAGCACTGACAGGCAAAGCTAAGATGCGTTCCCTTCAGGGAAACAAGGGGGCACCATCTAAAGGACATAAAAACAAGCGAGAGCCAACCCAGGAGGAAAAGGAGCTTAGAGCCAAGTTGTGGAGACAATGTCTGGCTTTAGGTTATCCCAGAGATGTGATAAATGGACTGCCCACAGAGCGGCTAAAATTATTCACCACCTTTAAAAGAGCTGACTGGGAGACAACTAATGCTATTCCCAGTGCACCTCTGCAGCTCTCTCCTCTTTCCCCACCTGCAGACACCCGGTATACTCCATTGCTGCAGCAACTGCAAGAGTTACCAGAGCAGGGAAACTAGCTTGCGGGGGTCAATCTCCTCTCCTAATAAACCAGCTTAAATCCAAAGAGGAGAAAACAACAGCAAAAGACCCCCGGATACATGTAACTGTAAATGACAAACACATTATTCCTTTCTTAATGGACACAGGGGCTCAAATGTCTATGATTAAGCAAGAAAGTTTTCAGGGCTCGCCACCTACTGGCTGAAAGCAGGTACTTGTTACAGGAGTAAATGGCAGTACCATAACTTACCCATTAGTTAAGATAAAACTGGAGATCCCATTGCAACCCCACCATCAGCCCCGAAAATATGAGGTGATTTTGGGCAATGCCAACATACTGGGCATGGACGTTTTAAGAGGAAAGAAGGGAAGGATTAATGGGGAAAGATGGGCTTTTGGAGTCAGTTCTGTTCCTCATGCCACCCACCTGGAAGAGGAAAGCCCTCCCCACTATTCTGTAAACTTACTTAGCAGCGCGCCTGCTCTCCCGCCCTCAACAGTAACAAACATAAAGCAGTATAATGTCCCAGCTGAGGCCATAAGCCCTGTTACTGACCTGAGCAAAGATTTGGAACAGCGAGGAATTTTAATTCGTGCCCACTCTCGCTTTAATTCTCCTGTGTGGCCCATCAAGAAACCAAATGGCAAATGGAGACTCACTATAGACTATAGGAAGCTAAACAGTAACACTGGACCATTAACTGCAGCAGTCCCTAGCATAACAGATATTGTAAACACCATACAAACCTGGGATAAACCCTGGCTAGCAGTATTAGATGTAAAGGACATGTTCTTCATGGTCCCTTTACAACCAGCTGACCAGGAAAGATTTGCTTTTACTTGGAGAGGTGTACAATACACTTTTACCCGAATGCCACAAGGGTTTAAACACTCACCCACTATTTGCCATGGGGCACTGGCAAAGGTCCTAGATGACCTTATACTGCCACCCAATGTACAAACTGTGCAATACATTGATAAAAAGAAAAGGAGTACTTGTGGCACCTTAGAGACTAACCAATTTATTTGAGCATGAGCTTTCGTGAGCTACAGCTCACTTCATCAGATATAAGTATCTGATGAAGTGAGCTGTAGCTCACGAAAGCCCATGCTCAAATAAATTGGTTAGTCTCTAAGGTGCCACAAGTACTCCTTTTCTTTTTGCGAATACAGACTAACACGGCTGTTACTCTGAAACAATACATTGATGACATCTTAATAGGTGGGAAAACCTCAGAAGAGGTACAGGAGGCTATGAATCAAATCAAAGGAGCACTAGAAGCCCTTAATTTAGAGTTATCAGCTGAGAAATGCCAAGGTCCCTCCCAAGAGATAAAATTCTTAGGTACTGTATGGATGGGAGGTAGGAGGTCTGTGCCTAATGACACTGTGCAAGAGCTAAATCAGGCACCCTCCCCTGAAAGTAAAGATCAATTGAGACAGATTTTGGGAACCCTGGGGTTTTGGAGAAAACATGTACCTGGCTTTGCCATTATAGCCAGACCATTGTACAATTTGTTAAAGAAAAGTGCTGCCTGGGAATGGGCTTCTGCCCATGAGGAAGCCCTCAGGCAACTGATAGGGGAGATACACACCTATCAGGCTCTGGGTCCCATACATCCTGAAGCCCCATTCCATTTGTACCTAACTGTGGGAGCCACTGGAATGTCTTATGCTCTCTGGCAAGACAGTAACACTGCTCCCAGACGACCAATTCAGTTTGGTTCCAAGTCATGGCAAGGGTCACAGGCTAACTACACACCTTATGAGAAGGTGCTTTTGGCAGCTTACACAGCCTTGAGAGAAACTGAGGAATTAACTCAGGATAAGGACATCACAATTAGAATCACATAGAATCATAGAATATCAGCATTGGAAGGGACCTCAGGAGGTCATCTAGTCCAACCCCCTGCTCAAAGCAGGACCAATCCCCAATTTTTGCCTCAGATCCCTAAATGGCCCCCTCAAGGATTGAACTCACAACCTTGGGTTTAGCAGGCCAATTCACACTCCTCTTCCAATCATTAAACCTATATTGGAAGGGAAAGAGTTACCACCTGGTGTAGCACAAAAATTGACTATCCAAAGATGGGCACTTTACATACACCACAGGGTAGGTAGTGCAGACACTGCACAAAACCCCATTATGATTCAGGAATCCCTATGGAAAGTAGGAATGCCTGATGAATACCGCCTACCTCCACAGCAGTCTCCCATTAAGGATGCTGCCCCATTTGATCCTTCTAAGCCTGAGGGAGTATGGTTCACTGATGGCAGTGCCAGGCTGGTTAAAGGAAAATGGAAGGGAAAAGCTGCAGCAGTGCCTGCAGACACCTCTGCAGCACCCCTAACTGCTGAAATTGATGGGTCAGCACAACTTGCAGAATTGGCTGCAATTAAACTGGCCTGTGAAGCAGGAGCCACCGCAGTATATATGGACTCCTATGCGGTATGGGCAGGTGCCACTCAGTGGATCACTAACTGGAAAAATAACCACTGGGAAATAGGAGGTAAACCAGTCTGGGGACTGGAATACTGGAAGTGGTTATATCAGCATGCCCTGCAACAACCCCTGTCTATAGGACATGTCTCAGCTCATCAGAGGAATAATACCCCAGCTGCACAGTTAAACAATTTAGCCGATGCAGCTGCCCAGCTCTTTACCACACAAGTAGAATGGGAACGCTTATATTCATGGTTACATGATAATTTAGGACACACAGGAAGTGATGAGTTAGTGCGGCAAGCACATATCGGGGGTGGCCTATCACCCACAGACAGGCTAGAGACCTGGTGCAAGCCTGCGCTATTTGTGCTGAGACTAGAAAACATACAGCAGAAGGACAAAGGTTTGCCAGGCTAAGAGATGGAAAAACACTATGGGCAACCTGGCAGGTCGACTATGTCGGACCACTGCCCACTACAAGGCAGAGGTGGAAATACATCTTGACTGGGGTAGAAATTGTTTCAGGGATTGGTTTTGCATATCCAACCTGATTGGCAACAGGGTTGTTCACAGTTATGGGACTAAACCGCTTAACAGCAATTGTCCCAATGCCTCAAGAAATCCAATCAGATAATGGTTCGCATTTTAAGAATAAACTTGTAAGGGAATGGACCCTTAACCATGGAGTCCAATGGACCTTCCACCTTCCATATCGACCTCAATATAATGGCATGGTCGAGCGCTGGAATGGGTTGCTAAAGAATCACTTGAAGCCTACTGATGGCACATGGGGAGACAGACTGGACGAAGTGGTGCAGAGATTAAACAACAGACAGACTCCTACAGGAAGTCCAATCAGCAGGGGATTCTTCCCTACAGGGAAAGCTATCTCCCCTGCCAGAACACCACTGCACAGTTCCAAGTATGCTCCCGGAGACACTGTTGTGATTAAACACCCAGCCCTGGGAACCTTTACCTGTGTTTTGCACGCCTATAAAGAGAAAGGTGTATGGAGTGCCTTAAATGCTGATAAAAGGCTAATAACCATTACAGAGGCTTGGATCGCATCCAAGACCGGCTGACCATGTGATTTATTGCAGGAATGGTCCCATGGTTCCGAGCAACCTGCCAGCTAACCTGTCAGCAAAATGGACCATGCAGCAGACCTGTTTGATCACTAGAGACTACTATGGACTGTTGATATATTTGCCATTACTTATAATAGCAGGTGTAATTTTTGCTTTTGGTTTTAAAATAAGTTTTTTAGCTAGAACACGACCCACCAGAGATATGTTCCTGCAAGCCCTCATGATCCTTCTGTTGGCTCCAGTCACCTTGGCAATACCAGAACATCCTCTTCGGGGAGCAATCCAAACCATCGCCTCAGCTGCTGGTGCTACAAATTGCTGGATGTGCACCTTGCTAGATTCAACCAATGGACTGGGAATTGAATTTGTACCACTCAGCCTAAATGATTGGTGGAACAAAAGCGACATCTTTCAGTGGGGACCAGCATGGTACACCAACAACCCTCGCAATGACTCGGGGGAGGTGGGACAATGGCATCACACTGTTTGGGGACGGCCTGTGGAATATGTAACGGGATCATCTAAAGAAGTATACCCTATTTGTTTTGAAACTCAGGGTGACATACAAATGGGTAGTCTAGATAAGCAGCAATGTGCCCATACAATTGTATTTGATAAAAGAAGTGGGGATTGGACTACCTACCCACCCATGAACGACAAGAGGACTTTAAAATGTTGGAAAGGTCCCATCAACGGCACACTTGAACATAGACCCCTTTTTAGAATATATAATGCCACAGTTGTTCCCCTGAATATGAGTAGATACCCTGAAAGCAGAGATTGGTATGATCAATCACTGTTCTTTATTCCCAGTTCCGGACACATTTATAACCCATTGCTAATCAAATCTATTAACTCCTTATTAGATCAGTGTAATGAAAATGGACTTTTTCACTCAGATCAAATTTTAGAAGATTTGTTAATGGTTTTGCTCTGTACTAACATTAAGATGGGATATTGTGTTCCATATCACCAACCCATACCTAAACCTGAGGGGGGCAGGTGGCACAGAGGACCTTATTCACCTATTCTTAGTAAAGAACCTGGCTTGTTCTTTATTTGTGGGGACAAGGCATATAAATATCTACCTGTAGGTTGGACTGGAAGGTGTTCACTGGGACATGCAGTACCCGAGGGACTAACAGTACACCCTCATATTGATGCCCCCAGAATAACAAATCTGGGAAGTTTTATATACCGATCCAAACGAAAGTTCACCTACAACCCCGATTGAACGGCCCTCTGGTTTTCACCGATTTACACGTGCACTTATACCTTGGTTAGGTATAACTGAGCTCGAGATGGCAATAGCAAACGTTTCTGGACAATTGGAAATTGCTCTGAATCATACTGCTGATGCATTAGGGCTTTTAAATGAACAACTTCAGTCTGTGGCCCGATATGCTCTGCAGAACAGAATAGCACTGGACGCTACCCTAGCCCAGCAAGGAGGAGTGTGTGCTGTCATCAACCAATCTTGTTGTTTTTATGTAAATCATTCAGGGTAAATAGAGCAAGATGTGGTTGCTATTAAAGGTGCAGTTAAAATTTTACATGCAGTTGCTGAGAATGGTCAAACCTCATGGATGCAATGGTTAGCTCAACACTTGGGATTTTCCCTCTCCCCGTTTTTACATTCGGTTGTAAATACTGTTTTAACCATTTTAATTATTGTAATTGTTTTTTGTGTAACTTTATGTATTATGAAGCGTTTGATTCAAACTGCTCTTTCCTCCACGCAAATCAGATACCTAGAGCTAAAAAGGGATCCTAACCAATTCCGCGAACCCTCATCCTCTAATTTGGTTGTTGGGTATTTCTAGATTTCCCCAAGGAGGGCAACAGGTGCTGGCATCACCGCCACCTTGCAATCTGGGATGTAGTGTGGCGCATCAGGGGGTGGAATGTAGCCAGACAGCCAGCCCCCCCCCTCAGACCAGCATTGCTGGAAACACAGGAGGAAGCCAGAACAGGGCACTTAACATATATTCCAGCACAGCCTTTGAAGCTGTGAAAAGCACAGGTGTGCTGCTACAATGTGCCTCTGGGAACATATACAACGATTAAGCTCACAGCAGGCAGAGGCCCTGTGACAGACATGGCTCTTAGCCCCTACTAAATAGCGTGATGCACACACACCAGCATCCTAGGTGGGAAAATATTTACCCTGATAAAAGAAATGTCCAGTAGTCGAAACTTATTGTTTCTCTCCCTTGAAAGTGTAAACTACTCTTGCGAAAGCTGGCGTCACCCAGACAGACCAGCCTCAATTTGGCATAAGAAAGGAGAAAGAGAATAAAGGAGTACAGAGGTATAAGTAGGGGACCTACAGAACCATGATTTTTGGAGTGCTTTTCACTATCTATCTGCTGGTCAGATAAGTGACAGCCTCCCAAGGCTTCTGCAGCTAAGAGGGTCCCTAAGCCTTGTCCCTTATTCGTCTTTCCGTGGAATCGAGTGACCGATCCTGGCTTGGCACCGCTGGAATCGAGAGATGCAAGGAGGGTAAGAAGCACCCACACCTGATCTCCTATCTTTAGTGTACACATATTTTGAAATAGCGCTCTATACTTTGTTTTCTTTCTTTGGGATTGTGGCTTCAGTTTTGTAACTTGTTTGTGTGTGTAACATCTCTACATTTAAATAAGTAGGCACTAGCAATTTTGTAACCACATGATTAGAATCTAGCTTAATAAATTTTGGTAACCATTTGTGCATAAGCCTGACTTGTTTTCTCTGGTTTACTGTAAAGCAGCCAACACAATTAAAGAACCTCAGCCGTTTTGGCTCTAAAGCCTGGCCATTAGGTGAGAGTACTAAGAGCCTAGCGTTGAGTTGTGCCGCCTCCACGGGGCAAACTCTTGGGGCACCTGTCAGTCAATCCTGGCTGCCCGCTGCGAAGGAGCTCTGAGCTCTAGCAGTTAAAGTCACGGGTGTGGAGAGGCTCTTAGTGCTGCCATTGGGGCACCTGTCAGTCAGTATTGACTCCCCGCTGCGAAGGAGCTCTGAGCTCTAGCAGTTAAAGTCATGGGTGGTTAGGACCTTGGGGCATCCGTCAGCCTAGCCCGGGCTGCCCGCCGCGAAGGGACAGTGCGTCCTAGCGGTTAAAGTCACGGATGGTATAAAGGTTCACTCCCTCTGGTGCACCTGGCATTGGCCACTGTTGGTAGACAGGATACTGGGCTGGATGGACATTTGGTCTGACCCAGTATGGCCATTCTTATGTTATGTTCTTATGAAGTGAAACTCAGGAGGTCTGGGCTGTAGTTCTGGCTCTGCCATTGGTCTGTTGGGTGACTTAGAGCGAGTCCCTTCACCTCTCTGTGCCTCAGTTTCCCCATCTGTAAAATGGGGAAAATGATACTGATGCTCTCTGTAAAGCACTTGAGATCTACCAGTGAAAAACTCTAGATGAGAACTGGGTATAATTATTTCCTCCTCTTCTCCCTAATAAGTACCTTCACTTCTACATCCAGTTAAAACAGAAGTCACATCAAATCACTTCTATGCCAAGCAGTCTATTAGTGCAGCTCTCCTAGTGTGCTGCTGCTTTTCTTTAGGGCAACAAATCCTTTTTCTCCCACCCTCCAAAAACCACCACCAACAAAAAAACTCCTCTTCCTGGTGACTCATGGTGGGGCCTCTCCAGTTTATGCCATTGGAGAGCTGCTCCCTTCCATGGGATCTTTAAGGAGATGTCTACGCATCAGCTGAGAGGGTGTTTCTCAGCATAGGTAGGCAGACGCACCCTAGCTCTGCTTGACCTAGTATGCTAAAAATAGCGTGTGGTCTTGGCGGTTCATGCTAGCCACTCGAGTACAATCCTGCCCAACCCTCTGGGTACAGACCCATGCAACTAGCCTTTGCTGCCCTGGCCACACTGCTATTTTTAATCCACTAGGATGAGGAGAGCTAGTGCTTGTCTGCTTACCCATGCTGGGAGTCCGCAATCAGCCCTACCTGGTATGATCAGGGCATCCAGTTCCTTGACGTTCAGCGTGGCTAGGTCCTTGATGTTGCCTCTGGCGATTCTGGCACTCTCGACCAGCACGTTGCGTTTCTCTTGAGTTGGCTGCCCTTTCACGTGGTCCACCACATGCATCTGCTCTACATCTGGAGCAAAGAACTCCCCCTGGGACAGATGAGATGGAAAGGTCTGTTATCTTAAGACTAACAGCTGGGTATGGTTCCTAAAAGCAGTATCAGACTTTGTGTAGTGAATGAGGGTGGTTTGGTTGCTGAGTCAGAGGGAATTTGACAACAAACCACAACAGCAATATGCCAGTAGAGCTGAGCAACCCTCTGAGCTCAAATGCCGACCAGTGACCAGGCTATTGATATGATAGTCACAATAAGATTTTTTGATAAGATGATTGATATGATTATCACAATAAGATTTTTTTTTTAACTTCTTGGGCATTGGGTGGACATTTTTTTCAGTGAAAATGCAGATTTGGTGACCTTGAAACATTGTGTGAATTCATGTTGACTGTCAAATTGTTTCAGTGTTTTCAAAATATAACATTTCAAGTTTCTGGTTTGAAATGACTTTTAATTTCAAAATTTCCTTTGATTTTATTTTTTAAATAATTTAAAAATGCGTTAAAATATTTGAAGCTGAAACAAAACGTATCAGTTTTGTCAAAAAACATCATCTTGTTTGACCTGAAATGAAAATTTCAACTTTTTGATTTGCCAACAATTAAAAAAAAATTAGGGCTGTCGATTAATCGCAGTTAACTCACGCAATTAACTCAAAAAAGTTAATCACGATCAATCGCACTGTTAAACAGTAGAATACCAATAGAAATTTATTAAATATTTTTGGATGTTTTTCTACATTTTCAAATATATTGATTTCTATTACAGCACAGAATACAAAGTGTATAGTGCTCACTTCATATTAATTTTGATTACAAATATTTGCCCTGTAAAAATGATAAACAAAAGAAATAGTATTTTTCAATTAACCTCATACAGGTATTGTAGTGCAATCTATCGTGAAAGTGTAACTTACAAATGTAGATTTGTTTTGTTACATAACTGCACTCAAAAACAAAACAATGTAAAACTTTAGAGCCTACAAGTCCACTCAGTCCTACTTCTTGTTCAGCCAATTGCTAAGACAAACAAGTTTGTTTATATTTACGGGAGATACTGCTGCCTGCTTCTTATTTACAGTGTCACCTGAAATTGAGAACAGGCGTTCACATGGCACTTTTGTAGCTCGTGTTGCAAGGTATTTACGTGCCAGACATGCTAAACATTCGTATGCCACTTCATGCTTCGGCCACCATGCCAGAGGACATGCTTCCATGCTGATGATGCTCATTTAAAAAAACACTCATTAATTAAATTTGTGACTGAGCTCCTTGAGGGAGAATTGTATGTCTCCTGCTCTGTTTTACCCGCATTCTGCCATGTTACAGTGGCCTCGGATGATGACTCAGCACATGTTCGTTTTAAGAACACTTTCACAGCAGAAGTACACAAAGAAGGTACCAATGTGAGATTTCTAAAAATAACTACAGCACTCGACCCAAGGTTTAAGAATCTGAAGTGCTGTCCAAATTCTGAGAGGGACAATGTGTGGAGCATGCTTTCAGAAGTCTTAAAAAACAACACTCAGATGCGGAAACTACAGAACCTGAACCACCAAAAAAAAATCAGCCTTCTGCTTGTGGCATCTGACTCTGCTTTGGATCGTTATTGAGCAGAACCCGTCATCAACATGGACGCATGTTCTCTAGAATGGTGGTTGAAGCATGAAGGGACATATGAATCTTTAGTGCATCTGGCACGTAAATATCTTGTGATGCCGGCAACAACAGTGCCATGAGAACACCTGTTCTCACTTTCAGGTGATATTGTGAACAAGAAGCCGGCAGCATTACCTCCTGCAAATGTAAACAAACTTGTTTGTCTGAGCGATTAGCTGAAGTAGGACTGAGTGGACTTGTAGGCTGTAAAGTTTTACATTGTTTTATTTTTGAATACAGTTATTTTTTGTACATAATTCTACATTTGTAAGTTCAACTTTCATGATGTTAAAGAGATTGCACTAGAAAACTTGTATTAGGTGAATTGAAAAATACTATTGATTTTGTTTTTTACAGTGCAAATATTTGTAATAAAAATAAATATAAAGTGAACACTGTACACTTTGTATTCTGTGTTGTAATTGAAATCAATATATTTGAAAATGTAAAAAAATAAAAAAAAATTAAATAAATGGTATTCTATTATTGTTTAACAGCATGATTAATTTTTTAAATCACACAATTAGTTGTGATTAATTTTTTAATCACTTGACAGCCCTAAAAAATATTTCTTGTTCTTACCCAAAATAATATTTTTTGGGGGCCTTTTTGAAATTGCCAGTGAACCAAAAAGCCTGTTATTCTCTCAGCGCTAATCTGAGCTAGTGTCAGACAAAGAGATAGGACTGCCCCCAGCCTGTTCATTCCTTTGAAAAAAGCCTCACCCAAGAGACCAGGTGGATGAGGTAATCTCTTTCATTGGACCAACTCTGCTGGTGAAAGAGACACACTTACACAGAGCTCTTCTTCAGAAGTTGGTCCAATAAAAGAGATTACCTCACCCACCTTGTCCCTCTACTAGCCTGGGACACACATGGCTACAAGTTACAACAACACTGCAAACAAGTATCACCTGAGGCTGTCCTAGGTAAGACTGGAGTCTGGAAATGGCCAATGCTAAATGGGCTCATTGTTTCACTACTCCCATAAAAGCTCCCACACGACACAACTAAAATAGTGACCAAATTCTGCTCTCAGTTACACCAATGCAAATCCAGTATAACTGCTGAAATTACCCTAGTCCAAAACTGATGTAATACCGTGGAAAAATCAGACCCATTGACTTCAGTGGAGCTATACCTCTACACATCTGGAATAGTTTCACACAACTTAAAGGGGTTACTCCAGATTTTCACTAGGGTAACAGAACAGAATGTGGCCACACTGCTTAGGCTGGGAGGGAAAAAGACTGAGCAGCAATGCCCTTCTCCCCAAAAACCAAGAACAACAGAGGCTGGAATCGTCTTCCAGCAAGATTGTTACAATTTGTTAGATGCTGGATTTTCTTTCAGTTAGAAAGGTTTTCTTCTTTCTAAAGGAGGGTCAAAAGAGAGCTGGAGCTTCAGTTCCCCTGTATCACTCTGGGTAAAAGTTCATTACAGTACACTAGCTCCCTACCAGTAAAGGGAAAAATAGTCCTAACCTTTATGAAGGAAAAGTTATACCAGTTTCCTCCATCAGAGGGCTCCTTAGGTTAAGGGATGAAGAAGGGACCGGCAGCACTCTGAATAGTCTTTCAGTTTTGTGTAAGAGGGAAAGTGAAAAATACAGGAGGAAAAAAACAAGAGGAGAAAATACAGCTGAAGAAAGAGAGAGACAGACACCTTTTTTTGTAAACAGGAATTGAGAACGTGAACCTTGAAATCTTTGTTAGATCCTTAGCTGATGTAAAAGAGCATTGTTCCATTGACTTTAATGGAGCAACAATCACTTATAGAAGCTGAGGATTGGGCCCAGATTTGTCCCCTGCTGGGAGCAAAGGGTGATCTCAGGCAGTGTTCTTGCACTCAGACAATTTGGCTACAGTTACTAATTCTGTATTACCAGCTTCTTGCTGCCTGCTATGATTTTCTGTTTCAGACTAACTGGCAAGAGCCCTTTCAGTGGCTTCTGTTTTTATTTTCTGCTTCAAAAAGGAATTTAAAAAGCAGGTGTGGCAGCTGGCCACTTAAAAGAAACAGAGAGAGAACTGCAGAAGTGAGCAAATGTCTAGGCTGAAAAGAGCACTAGAACTGCAGCATAGCAGAGGAGGACATATTAGGGAAATTGCTTAAAGAGATTTAGATTTTGTATACAATTTGTATACAAAGAGATTTGTGTACAATTGAGTCCAGTCAGTCCAAATTCTACTGCAAGAGTTCTGGGTGCTAAAGTGGTGAGCTCTGGATAGAAGAAGAAAGGTATAGAAATAAGAGACTACCTAGAGGTTTTCTAATCACATTCCCGTAGTGATCAAGTTTGTGGGTACACGAATACAAGTACAAGTACACAAATCTGGGTACAAGTACACAAATCTTGATAGATAGACAGTCTCTTATCTAGATTTTTGTACTGCACCCACCACCTGATCACTAGGGCAATTTAATTATCTCAGCAGCAGCTGGAAATAACACCTAAGGAAACTATGACTTACTGCTCCAACGATTCCAAAAATAATTCCTGCAGTGGAGGAGATGGTAAAGAGCAGCCCAGGGCAAAAGGATATATAGCCAAGATAGACCTGGGCCCCAGAGCCAGAGTGCTTCTTACCTGTGCCCCCTCTCTGCTGAGATGCACCAGCACGGCAGAAGACTCATGGATTTCACTGCCGTCATACACCCCGCAGCCGGACAGAACAATGGCTACCTTCTTGCACATGTTCAGACTCAGAGTAGGTGGATTCTCTGGGAGGCTGGAGTTGCTGTGTCTCTCTGTTCACTGCCCTGAGCCTTTTATAGCAGGAGATCCCGCCCCAGGACAAGGTGGGGCCGTATGGGCTGGACAGAGCCCTTTACTGGTAGGAAGTTTTCTATTTCTCCAAAGCAGGCTTTGATGTGTACATAAATGTTGTGCAATCAGCAGCTCCTTGTTAGCTGTCCTTGTGCATTGGCACGGGGGAATTCCCAGCTAGCCGGAGCTGTTTGTTGGTTACCCGTGCTCATCTTTCCTTTCTCAATCGATTATCAATTGTGTTGCAGACTAATGCACAGAGACTTTTATACGTATAATGGCATGTAACAGAGCCATGCACTCGGCCAAGTGCACCCGTCGTTTAAATCCACTCCAGTCAGTGCAGGGACACCAGGGATGTACTTTTTAATTTTTTTTGCAGCACAGGCAGTGTTCCCTTTCCATTGTTAAATGTCCTCCGTCTCTAAGCTCAGTCTCCACACAGCAGGCTTTCTACAGACCGACACGTTAATTCTCTGGCCTTTGGGCCATGAATTTAGACACAAGGGGCTCGGTTCTCTGCACCTTCACACTAGCTTTACGCTAATGTAACTCCTCTGACTGCAGTAAAAGTGGTGTTATAGAGGCAAGGGCCAGGAAAAATCCATCAACCTGAGCAATCATCATTATGATACACCCACCATTCTTTCACTTTATAGGGATGCTCTCAGCATGAGGAGGTGCCTACATTTCCATTCCTTAAAGGCAGGTAAGTCTCGTGCAGCATCCCTAAATAATGTTAGATAGGTTTCAGAGTAGCAGCCGTGTTAGTCTGTATTCGCAAAAAGAAAAGGAGTACTTGTTGGATAGTCTCCTGAGATTATTTATGAAATACCTCTTGTTTGGGTCTCTATTGTGATATAGCCTTTCCTTAACAAAAATACAGTTTGGGGTGCTAATTATCTACTACAAGTATGTACAGGGTGCCCATCACCACAGCATCTGTGCCTGCAGTTATTACTGGCATACTTTAAAAAACAATGACACCAGGCACTATGTGTTCATGGCTATTCCATTTATAAACCAGAATAAGCAGCGTAAACATTAGAGAGGGAGAAAAGTCCAATTAAGGTCCATTTAATCCCAATGCACATTTGGTCCCTACGCTGCTTTTACTAGTCCCAATGCAGGCAACCTGCATGATGGGTGTGGAAAAACCCAGCTGGTATCTATGGATGCAAATAGTGTGCAAATGCACTCCTTCCTGGTTTAGATACAAAACTGCCAAGTCATGCTGTAGTTGAAAAAATAATTAGTTCTTCTTCCTTCAGACAGTTAGGTGGAGTCATATTACTGAGTAGATATAGCATGGGAAAGGTGGCAGATCCAAACAAATCTAGTGCACACTGCAAACATAATCCATTTGCGTATGTTACAAACTGGCCGAGCTGTCTCCCATTTTACAATACCTCCCCATGCTAAATGGTGCTGATGCCACTGCATACCTGTTTATCGTATATTAGGGCCTGAGCCAAACCCTGTTAAAGTCAATTAAGAATGGGCTTGTCTACAGATGGAGTGACTCCAGAATAGCTATTCATGTATTCCAGAATAACTACTCTTGGTTAAGAGTGCCTTACTCAAGATTATTTTAATCCACTTTGGGTAAGAGTGTCTACACATGGAGTTATCAGGAATAGCTATGGCACTTTAAATTCACACTCTTCGTTAATCTGAATTAACTTTCAAGTGTAAACAAGCCCAAAGGTATCCCACTGACTCGAAAGGGCATTATGCTGTCAAAGAGGGGTGAGTATAATTAAATGTAATCATTGCCTCAGGCGTTTAATGAAAACCAATTTGGGAGCAGTAATGGGGAATTAAACTGCTCTAGAGGGGAGATTCTGGGATGAAGCACAGCACAGAACTCGGAGCCTTTAAAAACACTAACATTTGGTCATACTCAGCTGTTATCATGACCTCAATCCTGAGAAGTGCTGAGTGCCCCCAATCTAACTAAAGTCAATGAAGATTCAGCAGGAGCTCAGTTCCTCACAGGATTGGGCCCTATGTTAGTAATTATGTAGATGCAAATCGGTGGGAGGGAGTGTTTAACTGCTGGCCAATGCAGTAGAAATTTTCCCACAAAGCTCTATTAAGGCCCCTGCTTATCACTGTTTTCTGACCAACTTCCACTTGATGTGTAACTAACATCAACACTTAAGGCCATATCTGGATTTGATCCAATAGACACATGATACACTGTGAGCACCTGAATTGCTGTTTGGTTCTGGTCTGTCTGAGCGTCTTTGCCTTTTGTGGCTGTTACTTGTTCTGCCATGGCCCCCTCGCTTCTCTTGCAGGCTGTATTCATCAAGTGACTCCTCAGTAAATGTGTCTCTGAGACTATCCTATCTGTTAACTCCTCAGACTAACATGACATTGCTTTTATAAGACAGACCGTCATATAATGGACAATGGTCTGACCTGGCAGCTACTTTCTTGTAAAGAAAATGTGACGTTCTAATGCAGATCGCAGCTATTCTTGGCATTTAAAATGCCTTTGCCGAGCAGTTCATAGCCCCCTTCATACTCCCACTGGAATTTAGGATAGCTGTCCCACACATCTGGCCATTCCATGAGTATCCGTATACAGGACTTCACCCTCTCCCATTTTTCTGCAGTGCCACGTGCTTTGAGGAACATTTGGAAGGGTAACAACCATCTTCTCCAGTTCTCTGCCAGGTTCCCTTGTGGACTGGCTTCATGTTGGCTAAGATTTAGTTCTCCGCTAACCCCATGTCAACACAGGAGTGCAGGTAAGACTGGAGTTCACTTGACAGGGCTCAGAGTTACAAGGGTTAAACCCCATCATAGGCCAGGGCTCCAGTACCTGCTGTTTCAGTGGTAAAGGCAGTGGGGCAATGAAGACATTCTTATTGTGGGAGAAAAAGACATAGGACATCCAGGCTGGATGGAATCGTGTCCTCTTTGGAGGGCAGCCTGCAGGGGGCGGCATAATCGCATACCCTTGAGCAGGCCTGATTCCATCCAGCTAACTACAGCAGTGCACACACCAGCCAGTGTTGGCATTTCTAAATGTGTTAGGAATTAAGAGGAATCAGGAGACATGACGGAACCCAGGGCTGCTCAGAGAGTGAGGGTGTGCTTGTTAGCACCAGCAGATGGATTTTTTTAGAACTATTTTCCTCAGTACCCAAACTGTCCCATTGGCAACAGGGGAGCGTGAAAATAACCTCTGCCAATCATTTATAAGGTGTCCTTTTAGCAAGAATTAATCAAGAGTAAAATTAACAGGCCTTCAGGGAAAGCTTGGAGAAGCACAGGCTGAGTCACAGACTGAAGTTTATTACGGTTAACAGCTCACTTGCATTTCCTTCTCTGCTACTCACAAGGGAAATATAACTGAAGCTGTGGCTGTTAGGGAAAGGGGTGGAGTGCTGGGAGGAACAGCAGCCAGTGGAGTAGGTTTGACTATAAAGAGGTAGGAAAAGGGAGAGAGACAGCATTTCAGCCTGCCTTTGAGTCTTCAGCAAACTTGGCCATGGCAGAAGGACGGGTCCAGTCACTTCATTACTCCATAGGGCTCCTGGGCATTGCTTCAGGTAGGAACCAAGTTTACCTGGCAAGGGAGGCTGGTGGTGGAATTGACGTTCTTGTCCAATGAGGTTACACATTTTAAATGGGGACTAACTAGATTCTGTTATGAAAGAAAGAGTTCTTCCCAGCAATGGGTTCTCTGAATCTTCCTGGCTTGGATAAAACCCTTAGATCTATAAACCAATCTGCATAAAGCAGTCAATAACATGTTTGTCTTGCCTTTCAAACACTGAGCTGAACTTTTCCATTTGGCCGGTTCTGGTTGGGAGTCAAACCTAAACTTTCCAATACAGTGTAGTTTCTAACATAATTCTTTACTGAGATTCACTTTCCTCTTTCTTTTCTCCTTCTGTCTCTCTTCCCTGGATTCCTCTTTTCCCTGATTGCTCTCTATTTCCATTCCTCTTTCTTGATTCCTTCTTTCTTTGCATTTTTCTGTTCCTTCATCTCCCTCTGTCTCCCTTTTTCCTGGAAAGCTTTTAAGACGTTTCTTTCCCCCTGTGTTCCATGCAGGATCCCTCTTGCTAGCTGTGTACTCCTACAGCTTCACCAGCCCAGCCCCTCTGATCCCCAGCACGACTCTGGGCGTCCTTTTGTTTGTTATATCAGCTCTCTTGGCATATGCAGGTAAGACCAGGAGCACTGGCAGCTAACAGCCCTTTCTGCAGCTTATATACATATTTTTGTACTGACCTCTATTTTGCCAGCCGATAACCTTGCCAGATCACTGATTCTCTCACCTGAAATGATATGCCAGGGCACCAGTTTTGTCAATGTGCAGAGGGACTTGAGAAAGAAACATCAGTTCTAAATGAATCATTTACTGAGTTAGGCTCACTGCACTGGAAGTTTGCTCATTATAAAAACAATTTCGAAGCTCTGTAAGAGTGGTAGTTTAAGGGAAGGCAGTGAATTAAACTGTGTGTTAGTAAGTAGTTTGCCAAGGTCATAATCATTTTAGGGGGAAATCCCAGGTTATAAAAAGTTTCAAACTATTTTGACTGACTGGAGAATTACTCATGTCTCCCCACCAGGGGGAATGAAGAGACTGATGCTTCGGTTTCAGTACATTTATTTTAAGGGAGGCATTAATGGAATTGCCTTGTGTTGGTCCTGGCATTTTGCTAGATATTAAACAAAATGCTAACCAGAGGGGAGTGGTCATGGGTAACAAAGCTTTTAACCTCTAAGTACTGGGTTCAGATCTACTCTCAGCCAGTGCTGGCACAAAGCTGCCCTAAAGCCTGATCTAGAGTCCACTGAAGTCAATGGGAATCTATCAACGGGCCTCACTGGTTTGGGATCAGGCTCTTAGCATGGAGCAGCTTTTTGAAGGCCCTCGTGAAATGGGTTGGTAGCCTTGGTTCAGTGGGCAGGTGCTGTCTTCATGTCAGGCCGTGGTCAATCATGACAGAGGCCAGTGAACATCCTAGGGTTGCCAGGCACCCAGTTTTCGACCAGAATGCCCGGCTGAAAAGGGACCCTGGTGGCTCCGGTCAAAACCGCTGATCGGGCTGTTAAAATTCCGGTCAGCGGTGCAGTGGGGCTAAAGCAGGCTCCCTGCCTGCCCTAGCTCTGCACAGCTCCCGGAAGTGGCTGGCATGTCCGGCAACTAGGTGCAGGGGCAATAAGGGAAACTCCGTGTGCTGCCTCCGCCCCCAGTGCCAGCTCTGCAGCTCCCATTGGTTCGGAACCATGGCCAATGGGAGCTGTGGGGGTGGCTCCTGCGGGCACAGGCGGCACACACCGCACAGAGCTGCCTAACCATGCCTCTGCCTAGGGGTCGGACATGCTGGTCGCTTCTGGGAGCAGCATGGAGCCAGGGCAGGCAGGATCCTGCCTTAGCCCCGCTGTGCCACTGCCCGGGAGCCACCTGAGGTAAGTGCTGCCTGGCCAGAGCCCACACCCCAAACCCCCTATCCCAAGTTGGAACCCCCTCCCACACCCAAACTCCCTCCCAGAGCCCGCCCCCACTCCCACATCCCAACCCTCTAACCCAGCCCTGAGCCCCCTCCCGGAGCCCACACCTTGCACCCCCTCCTGCACCTCAGCCCTACCCCAGCCCGGAGCCCCCGGCTGGAGCCCGCACTCTCTCCACCACTCCAACTCCCTGCCCCAGCCGGAGCTCCCTTCTGCACTCCAAACTCCTCACCCCCAGCCCCTTCCCAGAGCCTGCACCCCCAGCCCTCACCCTCACTCCCTCCCACACCTCAACCCCCTTCCCCAGCCCTGAGCCTGCTCCCGCGCTCCAAACCCCTTGGGCTCAGCTGAAGCCCCCTCCTGCACCTCAAACTCCTCATCCCCAGCCCCACCCCAGAGCCTTCACCCCAGCCCTCACCTTCTCCCACACCCCAACCCTGCCCAAGCCTAGAGCCCCCTCCCACACCCTGAACGCCTACTTTCTGGTCCCACTCCAGAGCCCACACCCCCAGGTGGAGCCCTCACCCCCTCCCACACCCCAACTCTCTGCCCCAGCCCAGTGAAAGTAAGTGAGGGTGGGGGACAGTGAGCGACGGCAGGAGCGTGGCTGGAGTGAGTGGGGTGGAGCCTCAAAGAAGGGGAGGGACAAGGGAGGGGCCTCAGGGAAGGGGCAGGGCAGGGGCAGGGCAGAGCAAGGGTGTTTGGTTTTGTGCAATTAGAAAGTTGGTAACCCTAGAATACCCGCACATGAAGGCTTGAGAGCTCTTGTACCCTTAGAGGTGAATTGCCTAATTATTACTTAGCCCAGTAGTTTGGGGGCATAAACACAAAGGGTTAAATTATGGCCACCCTGCACTAATATAAGTGTGGAGCGCTTCTTACCCCCAACACACTTGTGCAGCAGCAGCCATGAATGGGTTGCTAGCTACACGGGAGCACTAAAGGAGAGGTCAGTCAGCACTGCAGTCTCCGGGGGAAGTATGTCAGGGCAGAGCAGATGTAACGACTGCTGTTTCTAAGGTTACTGCACCCCAGCTCCCTTGAGTCATAGCTGTTCCTCCACTGCACAGGCACAATGCCACAATGCCTTGCTCTAGCCCCCACTCCCAACATGGAGCTGGTTCACAAGGCCATAACGGAACGGAATGGAAATGGGGAAATTCTTGGGTGCTAAGTTCCAGCCCAGAATGAGCATCTCCCAGCCTAGGGATAAACTTCACAACACTAGGGGTTAGTAATGTGATCGTGGAAATCCTGAGGCACCATGGAAGGTGGTGGTCTAATATAGGAAGCGAAGAGGGCATGTAGCATGTTTGTAAAGTTGTAATACTGTTTTTGGGGTGATAGCGGAATTCCATTCAAACTCACATTTAACTTTAAGTCTCTCTAATCAAGTTCTCTGTCCACTTTCAGAGACAGGGCACTGTACTAGATTGATCTTGGGTCTGATCAGGTCTGGCAGTTCCTATGCTTCTTTATGAATGACTGTTTATGTATTAAGTGCCAACAAGTTGCTCTGTGCTGTACATGACATGTAATACACACAGGCTCTGCCCCAAAGGGCTGACAATCTAAACTAGACAGAAATGGAGCGGACAGGATGCACCGGGAAACCCAGAGGAGGGATCACCAGCACTTTAATTGTACTAGTCTATTATGACAATTATTATTGACTTTCTTCGTATGGACATAATGGAATTTGATGAAGAGACGATAATGGCTTGGGGGACACAGACTGGGAAGGATGGTCCATGAACAAGGGTTGGAGGTGTGGAAAATGGCAGAGAGTTTGTTGTGGGAACACGTGTAAGTTCATTATCATTAAGAAGTGATACAATTTACGTCAAAATGTGGCGCTGGGACGTGTCACTCTGGCACACTGACAAACACAGCCTGTTGTCCCGGTGGTGTCTCTACAAGCTGGTGGCATCCCTGCTTCCTTTGTTTATTTCCCTCATAGGAGTTCAGAAGAGCCTGAGAAGTGCCCCCTTGTTCAAGTCGCTGTGTCTGACCATCTCAGTGCTGTGGTGCAGCTATGGAGTCATCCACATCCTGGCAGGGCAAGGGGTCCTGAATGGCATTGATGATTTCCGCAATGCCGTTGTGCCTGGCCTGGCAACATTTACTTTGGGACTCCTCATCATTGGGGTGGTGGGCATCCTTCAAAGAGAGCTCATCCTTGCCATGGTTGCTTCTTGCATTTCGCTTGCCTGTGCCCATGAAATTGCCATGCTTTATAACACAGCTTTTGGTTCCTCGGCAGTGGCTTGCAATTATATGATTGTCTGCTTCATTGTGGGCTATTTTGCTGTGGGGAGGGGTCTTTATTTCCTCAGCAAGGAGAAAATCACCCTTCCTGGCACAGATCTGGCCAAGAGCAAGACCAATGAGCAGGTCCAGGCCAATGGTGCCAACACAAATGACTTGGCAGTCATTGGTCTGATCTTGAACATGCTGTCTGCCAGCGTCTTTGGCTGCAGGCTCCTGGGAGTGACCAGCAATCTATTTGTGGGCCAAGTACCTTGGCTTTGGGCAGCTGGGATTTACCAGATTGGGGTCTGCATTTTCTCTTACCGGGCCTTGGATACATTGGCTGCCACATTCTTTGGTTTCACCTCGGTGTTGAAATTTGCTGGAGGCTATTCTCTCCTGTACCGGATCTGGCAGCAGGATGAGCCGGTTTTCCCCGTCCCTTTCTTGGTGGTTTTTGCTATCCTCTTTGCTGTCTTGGGTCTTTTCATCACCATTAAAAGCCTGGTGGATGGCCTGTATTTGCTGTTTTATGTGGCCTACTGCATCGCCCTAGCCTGTCGCCCTCATGGTTTTTTTGAAGGTGGTCCCCAAGGTGTGGATGTGGCCATCTTTGTGGCCTCGGCCCTTATGGCTCTCATTTACCAGTACAACATGAAGGCAAGTGCCAAAATCCCTACAGGGGAGGGAACGGTCCAGGCCTTGCTGTCCCGCAGCAGTCATCTCAAACTTCGTGAAGGGAAAGACCTTCATGCTCCCTACCTTGGCTATTCCAAGTATGCCGATGCCGAGGTGCTTGGCTTTGCATGCAGCGTCCTTGCTTCCTTTGCTATCACGATGACAGTGGACCCAAGGGCACCACTTGCTACCATTGTCATACCCTGGGTGGTGGTAGCCGGAGGGATCCTTAAGCTTTTATGTGGTTCAGTGGCCTTTGCCCGTGGTAAGACCTTGGAGAGCAGTGCCTTCATTCTCTACGGGGTCATGTGGATCATCTGGGGCTTAGCCAGATATGGTGGTCTCTATGGCACTAGCAGGGGCTTCCAAGTAGCTGTAGGCATCATTGCCCTCATGCTTGTCAATTGCTTCATTGTCTTCTGCACTCTCTTCCTAAGCATTTCCTGGTTCATTTACTCCCTCACCTTCTTACTCATACTCATCAGCTTCTTGCTGGATGCAGTCAACGCCATCCCAGCTGGCTATGATATTGCTGTCACCATCATCTTTGGGCTGGCCAGCTTCTACTGCTTCCTGTCTGCTCTTTTCAACAGTACCTTTGAAGGGTCCCACTTCCCTGTGGGTAGGCCTATTATGAAACTCAGTGGTACTGGAGGAGGAAGCACCAAATGCCTTCACTTGCCTGCCAGGAAAGCTTCCTCAGTCAAGCAAATTGCAGGTAAGGAAAATGTATAGTGGAGAGAACAGGGGTAGGGGTTAACTGAGGGGTTTCACTTTGAAGAGAAGTCATGATAGAAGAAGAGCTACATTTTTTCCCCCATCTGAATCTACAAACTTTGATTATACTATGGCATTTTGACCAAAGCAGTATGGTCAAATGGTTAGAGCAGGAGAGTGGGAAGTAGGGGTCAAATGCTCTCCTGGTGTAAGTGGGAGAAATTCCATTGAAGTCAATGGCGTTGCACCCACTTATGTGGTTCAATATCTCCTGGTTTCTGTCCCTGGCTGGCCATCCCATCTACTTCATACAAATCCCACAGGCTGGCACTGCAACATGACACAGCTTCTGGGAATCCTTGCTGGGATATTTCAGGGGATAGAGGGGGAGGGTTACTCTCTGGATAGTGGGATGCCTACTTGCCTGCCTGGATATAACCTATAACTCTCCTTTAATGAATACTGGAAAATATACTGTAGTGGGCAACCCTTTAGCAGCCAGGGGATGAAGCCAAGGGCCCGTAGTTTGTCTTGTCCATCTATATCTCTTCTGTGAGTTTATGACTCAGCAGTTATCTGGGTTGTTTCCTGTTCTTAGAGATCATGAAGAATGGAGGAGCTTGTGGCATCCCCACCGACACAGTGTATGTTCTGGTGGCAGCCTGCAATCGACCTGATGCCGTAGAGAAAGCTTACAAGTAAGTGTTTTTACTACAGGCCCAGGCCAGGGCTTCTTCTAATAGTCTAGTGGAGACTCTAGTCACAGGCTGTAAGTGGCAACTGACAGCTGCTGTTGGGCAGTGTCTGCTGCAACAGGTCTGAAGGTGCAAGGGCCATGATTCAGCCCTCATAAGAGCAGTAAGCCTGCGGGTGAAGATCAGGGTTAGAAGAGGGAACAACTAGCGGGGTAATTGTCTCTGGAACATTCCTGGCTCCTGCCAGCTGATGGAACCAATTGGCTGGGACATCACAAGATTGTACAAAGAACAAAACATGGTGGCTAAAGAGCATTCCTTTCTTTTGTCTTCTTTACAGGACTAAGCGCCAGGCTCAGGATCGCCCCATGTCACTTTGGATTTCTAGTCTGAAGCAGCTGGAACCTACGAAGCATTTGTTCAACCCCATGCTGTGGGAATTCATGGCGGCTGCCTGGCCATCTCCCATTAGTCTGGTGGTTCCCAGAGGTGAGAGAATATTGTTGCTGTCAAGCTTTCCCCAAGGTGGAGAGTAGTGCTGAGCCAAAACAGAGCAATGTTGTGCACCGATGCTGGGCCGTTCCTTGCTTAGGTACATGGTACCACCACTGTTTGTAGACTCAACCCACATCAGCAAGTATTGTGTGGCTCTTCCCCTTACAGGGAAATGGGTGGACTTCCTGGGGATGAAAGACTCTGCTAAATATGTCGGTACCTCTCAGAGCATCGCCATCCGTATCCCCGACTGCTCCGTCACCACACATCTCATTGATCTGGTGAGTGACCAACGCACATCTCTCTCGGCTTGCTAAGGTCAAGCAGCAAGAAAAGTGACAGGTCTAATGATCACGTGGACCACAGTGGACAGGTTTGGTGTCAACAACTAGCAGTCAGCACATGGTGCAATGTCTAGGAACGGGTGTCAGGAGACCTAGGTACTTCTCCCAGCTTTGTCACTGTCTAATCTTGGGCAAGTCACTTCACCTCGCTGTTACTCCTGATGTAAAATGAGACGATACTAAAGCCAGTCAGGAATTTGTTGATAGGAAATTGCCGATTTGTCAAAACCAAAACATTCAGTGGAAAAGATCTGGAAAAAAATTTTTTGGAAGTGTCAAAAGCTCCTGTTTCGATATTTTCAAAACAAGAAATGCCAGTTTTCCTGTTCTGAATGACTTTTTGTTTTGAGATTGAAGCTGAGTAAATAATCGTAAAAGGTCAAAATTGAAACAAAATGTTTTGACTGACCCAAACCAACAGTTTTTTTGGATTTTTGGTTCCTGAAAGTTTTGGAGATTTTGACATTTCATTCCAATTCAGGATGGGGGGAAAATGGTCAAAATCTCAACATTTTTCACGGGATTGTACAATCCTTTCCAGCCCAGCTCGAGGTGATACTCACTTTTGTAAAGTTCTGGGGAAGAAAAGTGATGAGTATTATTATTACTGGCACAAAAAACTTCATTAAGGTTACGGTTGCAGGCACACATAGCAGTTGTTTGGTTGCACAGTTGCTTACAAGAATGTTTCAAAAAACCCAACAATCCAAATGTTAGAAACCTAGAAAATGCATAATTCTCACCCCTCTTGTCCGATTCACTGTATATTTACTAGAAAAGTTCTACCGCCATCTTACATCTAACCTCATATTTTGAATGCAATATGATCCTTTTTTGGACCGTGGAACAAATGATGCTTATTCAACCTAAATTATGGAACCAATGCCATTGCTCCATAAATTACCCCCAGCAGCGGTACGTGGGGTGACAACATCGCTGCCCAAATGTGCCTGTGTTAGTGTAATGCAGAGGTGGACAGCTGTATTTACCGTACCAAGTCACAGAAACAGCTCAGTCCAAGGATGTGATCCACATAGCTTCCATCTCAAGGCAACTCCTCTCTCTAATGTCACAATGCCACATGCTGAAAGCTCTTTGTTTTCCCATTTGATACATCCTTAAGGCCATTTACTCTGGCCTTTGCTGGGTAGAAAAGCTTTTGCCCTTTCTTGCTTGGTGCTGAGCACTTCTCCTGCTGTCTTCTGTATGAACTCTTGGTGGCAGCAGCAAATGAAGGTGTGGTTGGGTGTAATTCAGTGGTGTTGCCAGCATCCAGTGCCAGAGGCGAACAACAGCAAGGTTCGTTGCCCGGTATGCATCACCCAATAATCACAATGGGGTGAGAAGCAGAAAAGTTTATTTGCAGCTGCAAACAAGGTACAGGGAGAATAGAATCTCAAATCCTGCACCCAGAGCAGGAAGTTACACAGGCTTTTATACATCCTTTCTTCAGCATACTTATCCAATAGCAAGCTGCCCTAAGTATCCATATAGCCAACCAATCCAGTTACCAGCTAGTTCCCTTGTTCTCTGTACCAGCTGTTAAATCATACATAAAGCTGCTTTATTCAGCATTGTTCTTCCATATCTGCCCTGTTTGGCCTTGTTTAGTTTCAGGCAGTCTGACTTTGCAACATATTGTTGCAGATCCTCAGCATAACTGCTGTGAGTGCCTCCAGGCTAGGGGGGGCGGGGGCAAGGACACTTGGGCCTAGTACGCATAACTGCTGTGAGTGCCTCCAGACCGGGGGGGGGGGGGGCAAGAACACTTGGGCCTAGTGCGAGCAGGCTTCATCGACACTTGTGGTCTTCCATCCCCTTGAGTTACCTAGTGGCCACGTCCAGTGTCCCCAACAACTCCCTCCTTTGAGAACACTCAACAGCCTTGGCTCTGAGTTTTCTCACTTGGGCTACTTATTTCTTTACAATAGGACTTTGCATAAGCACTTTGTGATAGCCTTGAAGAGAATGACTTATTAATTTTTGCAAAAGGGTCCTGACACATGATACTGCACAGCATAATACCATTAATACAAGCAATACAGGAAAGAGAAGTTTCAATAACAGGCTAAATAAACCACCAAGCCAAAACGACAAACCCCAGCCTGAAAACAAGGTTTGCAACCAATCGCTCTCGGGGGCAGAATGGGCAACCTGTGCTCCGGCTCGGGCATGGGCCTCAGCCTGTACCACCTTTTCATAGATCTCATAACTGCTATCATTTACATATACACAACATCGGGGCCCGACGAGGGCACAAGCCCCTCCTTGGGATGCCAAGAGATAGTCCAAAGCCAGCCTGTTTTGGAGGGAAAACATCCTGAGCTGCTGTACCTCTTTATTTAATGTTTTTACTGCTGACCCTAAATCACTAACCGAGTCCTCTAACTCTAAGGCCACTTTCTCAAGTACCATTTGCAGCCTTACAGTATAGCGGCCTATGCATGCCATGGATGGCCCGGTAAACAGTGGCGCTATTCCCAGTACAGAGCACCCTACAAACTTCTCGGTTGTGTGAGGGGGACTCTTTATATTGCCTTCCAATGCCATAGTCAGTCCCCGCAGAGTCTTTTCTCGGGACTTAACAGAGGTATTTCGGGCATTTTTAATCTTTTTTTCTGGGCAGTGTGGCAGTTATTGACAGATGAGGAACTCCATGAGCTATATAACAGCTACCCGTCCAGTTGGCTGGCAGCACCTTGTAAGCCTTTCGGCCACATACAAAATAGTGACCCTGTAGGGCCCAGTAAGGACTGTTTCTTAAGGGGATTCCTGGGATATTTAAGGCTGCTTTGGCTGCTTTTCCAAACAGTTCATATGCCCCTAAGGGGGCATCCCATCCTCCTGATTGGGTACAAGTGGGAGTGTTTCTAATTGTGCTGTTCAAGTTACACTCGCCATAGGGACCACTACAAACCCACCATTGGCTTGCTACATTGGAGATATTAACTGGACGGCTAGTTATATTTCCAAACCCTTCTTTTGTAGTAAAATTATTCGTAAAAGTTTCCCTAAAAGGGGAGGAACCATTACATCCACACTGATGGCCTCCCCTTTTGGTCTTTATCCAATACCCATCAGCCCACTGTGTAATAACACAGGAGCTCTTTCCCACAGGATGCCCATAGTGATCAGATTGGTTTCGGGTAAAACATAACACTCCCTCAGTGAGTACTGCAACTGAATACTTCTGGTCCTGATAGGTGGCCTGCTGTAAAGAGGTCTTGTTCCAGAACGGCAAGTCCATTCTTTCCTGCTCTTTGGTGGTGGCTAATTCTGCTAGGGTCAGGGGCAGCATGTCAAGGGGCATTCCCGTCTTGGGGGACAGTGGAGTTGGAGCACATACCCAGCAATCAGTCTGGTTTGTTAAAGTAGCAACATGGTGCGCAAGCGAAACAAAGGAGTTATGCTCCCGATATGCACAGTTTGGAAATAACAATACAGAGAATAACAATGTTACCCAATTAATTATCACCAGAGTCTTCCCAACCCAGGGTCTCCAGTATCTGGGTGGGCCCATTTTAGCATTAAGGTGCCCGCTATTTGTGTCTCTTAAACAGTAGCTTTAGCCCGAGATCGTCACTAGATGAGGAGTCAGCAGGTTGGATGGTCCACTGTTCTGCTGACGAGGGGGCGGGTACTGCCTTCAGACGAGAGTGATGGATCCAGTTCTTGTGTCCCTCAATCTTTGCCGTTGTATGGGAGATCAGCAGAACGGTATAGGGTCCTTTCCACTTTTCCTGGAGAGGCTCGTCTTTCCAGGTGCGAACAAGCACAGAGTCACTGGGCTGTAAGGAGTGGACAGGAGAGTCCAAGGGGAGAGGCTGGGAATCCTTGGTATACCTGTGAAGAGACAAGAGAATAGCAGACAGGGAACACATATACTGTGACAAAAAAACATTACCCAACTCCCATTCCCTTGACAGAACCGGGGTGCCATTCATAGGCCATGCCCTTCCAAACATAATTTCAAAGGGACTGAGCCCTAATCTACCCTTTGGGAGAACGCGGATACGGAGTAGGACGAGGGGCAAAGCATCAGGCCATTGCAGTGAGGCTTCTTGGCACACTTTTGAGAGACGTCATTTAAGGGTCTGATTGTTACTCTCCACTACCCCACTGGCTTGTGGTCTCCAGGGTGTATAGCGTTTCCAGGGGATCTGTAAGGCATTTGAGATGCTTTGGATGATTTTTGACGTGAAGTGTGTCCCGTTGTCAGATTCCATTCACTGGGGGAGTCCAAAGCGAGGAATGATCTTCTTAACAAACTTGAGGGCCACTGTTCTGGCAGTGCAATTACGGCATGGGAAGGCTTCTGGCCATCCGTTGAACCGATCCACTAAGACAAGGAGATATTTGAACACTTGGGTCCGGGGAAACTCAGTAAAATCTATTTGCTACACCCATCCGGGGCCCGGAGTGGGTTCTAGGGCAGCTGGTGGCATAGGATGTCCTGGTCGGGGGTTATTCTTTTGGCAGACTAAGCAGTCCACTTGTACCTGGGCAGCCAGGGGTCGGAGTCTGGATGTGATAAAATATTTTCCCATTAGTTGGATAAGTGCTTCCCTGCCAGCACGAGTGGTTTGGTGCAGTTTCTGCAATACTGGCCGGATCACGCCCTTTGGTAGAAGGACCTTCCCTTCCGGGGAATGGAGCCATCCCTCCTTTTCCTGGAGACCAAGTTTGTCAGTTAGCTGTCTCTCCTCCCCAGAGTACTGAGGGGTTGGAAGCTCCCCTACTGATGGGATAAGGGCATGCATATGGGCGTTCTCAGTCTGAGGGGATGGCAGGGTGGCAGCATGCTTAGCCTCTCTATCTGCCCTAGCATTACCGCTCGCCACATCTTGATTTTCTCTTTGATGGGCTTTACAGTGTACCACCGCCACTTCCAAGGGGAGTTGTACGGCTTCTAGGAGCCGGAGGATTTGGTGCCCGTACTTGACTGGGGAGCCTTGGGCTGTCAGCATTCCCCTTTGCTTCCATAGGCCAGCATGAGCATGCAGCACACCAAAAGCATATTTTGAATCAGTAAAAATGTTGACCCGCTTTCCTTTTGACAGTTCAAGTGCACGGGTCAGGGCTACTAGTTCGGCAAGCTGGGCAGAGGTCCCAGCAGGCAAACCTTCGGCTTCCACAGTGTCATGGAGGGTCACAACAGCATAACCCTTCCTCCTTTGCCCATCTATTACAGTACTGCTACCATCAGTGTACCACTCATAATCTGCATTTGGGAGGGGTACATCCTTTAAATCCAGAGGCTGGAGTACTGGGCATCTATGATCTCTAAACAGTCATGTTCCTGTTCCTCTGTTTCTGGCAAGAGGATGGCTGGGTTAAGGGAGGGGCAAGGCTGTAAGGTGACTTCAGAGCTCTCTAACAGCTTAGCCTGATACCGAGCATTCCGAGCCTGGGTGAGCCAGAGCCCACCCTTTGTGTCTAGCAGGGCTCGGACCATATGGGGAGTATAGATTTACATATCCCCTCCCAATGTTAGCTTCTCAGCTTTCTTAAGCACTAGGGCAGTAGCTGTGACCACCCGTAAACATGCCGGCCAACCCTTTGCAACGTGATCCAGTTGCTTAGAAAAATAAGCCACGGGACGTCTCCATGCTCCTAACAGCTGTTTGAGCACTCCTAGGGCCACCCCCTTTCGTTCATGTACATACAACTGAAACAGCTAAGAGAGATCCGGCAGGCCCAGAGCCGGGGCTTCCATCAACTTCCTTTTCAAGATTTTAAATGCCCTGTCGGCTTCTGGGGACCAGTGAAAGAGATCGTGATCCGTTCCCTTTTACACAGTCGTACAGGAGTTTAGCCCATAGTCCAAACTCTGGGATCCATATCCTGCAGAAGCCTGCCATACCCAGAAAAGCTCTGAGCCGTTTACGAGTGCTTGCGGTAGGGACTTGACAGATAGCTTCCTTTCTTTTGCTTGAAAGCTGATGCTCCTCTTGCCTCAGCTGTAACCTGATTCCGCTCCACCTCAGACAACAGAGTTCTCAGGAGGATATTACAATTGTTTCAATCCGGCTTGTGACTACTGAGACACCCCTCAAAGACTGAAATAAACCAGGTTGGGTTCGTGGAGAATTCCCCAGCCTGTGTTTTAAAAGCTGCTAAGTCTATTGGATTGAATGGCACATGGGTGTAAACTTGCATGGTGGTAGCCTGATGTCCGTCTGCCCCTGGGCAAGCCACAACAGTCTTGGTAATCAAAGGATAGAGTCCCACCGAGGGGGCAATCTCTGTAACCCAAGGCATCCTACTCTTATAAGGTGGGGTCGTGGGGGCCAAAGGGGACTCCGGATCTGCCATTACAGTGGGGGTGGAGGTCTGGGGACTAACATTAGCTGCTACCGAACCAGTCGGAGTCAAATTACAGCTCTGCAGAATTACAGCTCTGTTCTATCTCTTAAAGCCATAAACGCTTATGCATACCGATGTTCATTCCATTTACCCATTCACTGACAAAACAAAACTAATTGGAGGATCATATTATAATTAATTGACCCTCCCGGTGGCCACCATTCCTGGTCCTCTAGCCAATATTGAGGCGAGTCTACTGTACAAAACCTTTTCAATTTGCTTTTTGTCATTGGATCTGATCCAAACACTTTCCAGTTTGCTAGAATGCATTCTAGGGGCATACACTGTGCCCTAACCCCCGAGCTCTGTCCCTGTCCCATACTTACAGGGTAACTCTTGGCGTCCCCAGGTTCCAATAGAGCATACAATCTGGATTTCAAAAGGTTCCTACCTTATCCAAGGGACCGGTTCCCCACCATTGCCCGCAGCTGCTCCTCCCCTATGTCCAAGGGACCGGTTCCCCACCGTCACCCACAGCTGCTTCTCCACTATATGAGTGCGTTGCACTGTTGTGCCCTCCGGGGGCGATCAAATCGCGTCTCCTCCGAGGCCCCCGATGAACTCACCGGTGCACACTGGGCGTCGGTTCTCGCCGCAATCCTCGACCTCCAGGAGGGGTCCGGGCAAGGCTAAATAGAGGTCTCGTCGCCCACCCAGGGACGCCAAAAGCTGTTGCTGGCACCCAGTGCCAGAGGCAAACAACGGCAAGGTTCATTGCCCGGTGTGCGTCACCCAATAATCACAACGGGGTGGAGAAGCAGAAAAGTTTATTTGCAGCTGCAAACAAGGTACAGGGAGAATAGAATCTCAAATCCTGCACCCAGAGCAGGAAATTATACATCCTTTTTTCAGCATACTTATGCAGATCCTCAGCATAACTGCTATGAGTGCCTCCAGGCGGGGGGGTGGGCCAAGGACACTTGGGCCTAGTGTGAGGGGGCTTCATCGACACTCGTGGTCTTCCATCCCCTCGAGTTACCTAGTGGCCAGGCCCAGTGTACAGAGCGCTGCACGTGGGAAACTTCCTACAGCAATGCTGACCTTTGCACCTATGCCCCATTGATACAGCTCCAAGTGGGGCCACATTGATCGCCCAGAACAGTGTGATGGCTGGTGTTCCTGTACTAAGGCAATTTATTTGGAACCTGATCCTGACCTTCCACAAATCAGACCCCTTCCCCACTGCTGTGTCTGTGGGCCTTTGCTGAAGAAACCATGACACCCTGCCTGCTCCTTTGATAATTTGCTTGCTGCCCATATTTACATTGGGGTTCCAGTGTAATTTACTGTCCCAGGAAATTAAAATGTTTCATTCCTTCCTGAGGAAGTGTGCTCCAGGAATTATTTTGGGGCAGTTCTCTGGCCTGTGTAATCCAAGAGGTCAGACTAGTTGATTACAAGGGTCCCTTCTGGCCTTAGAATCGATAAGACCTCCTCAATTCAGCCTAATTTTTCATATCTTCCTCACTGTACTGTTGTCCTCACACTCACACTCTGGCACCCTCCTTCAGTTAAAATGGGTTTCAACAAACAAAGTATAAAGTGAAACGAATCCCTGAGCATTATTGTTTCTGTGCTGGAAGCTCTGTTCAAAACCCACTTTCTCATTTTGCTCTCAATTACCAGGTTGGCCCCATTGCAGTCACATCAGCCAATCCAACTGGAGAAGCAGACACTACTCACCACAATCAGGTGTACGCCAAACTGGGAGACAAGGTAATCACCATGTGCTTCTTCACATTCATCATGGGAGCTGAGGGAGATGTGATTGCAAGTTGATATCGATTTGCTCCCAGCGGGCAAGTCAGTGGTTAAACCTAAAATCCAGGGATAGATTGTAAATTAGAAGCTTATTGAGGCTTATCCCAGAAAGGCCAGGGAGGGAGAGAAAGAAGGCTGGAAAAATAAGGAATCAAAATAAACACAAACATTTTTATTTTTCATGACACAGTCTGTGACCCGCCACTGTAGTTGGTTTCTCTTCAGATCCATAAGGATGTGAATGCCATAGAGCATTTCATAGAATCATAGAATCATAGAATATCAGGGTTGGAAGGGACCTCAGGAGGTCATCTAGTCCAACCCCCTGCTCAAAGCAGGACCAATCCCCAATTAAATCATCCCAGCCAGGGCTTTGTCAAGCCTGACCTTAAAAACTTCTAAGGAAGGAGATTCTACCACCTCCCTAGGTAACGCATTCCAGTGTTTCACCACCCTTCTAGTGAAAAAGTTTTTCCTAATATCCAACCTAAACCTCCCACACTGCAACTTGAGACCATTACTCCTTGTCCTGTCATCTTCTACCACTGAGAATAGTCTTGAACCATCCTCTTTGGAACCACCTCTCAGGTAGTTGAAAGCAGCTATGAAATCCCCCCTCATTCTTCTCTTCTGCAGACTAAACAATCCCAGTTCCCTCAGCCTCGCCTCATAAATCATGTGTTCCAGTCCCCTAATCATTTTTGTTGCCCTCCGCTGGACTCTTTCCAATTTTTCCACATCCTTCTTGTAGTGTGGGGCCCAAAACTGGACACAGTACTCCAGATGAGGCCTCACCAATGTCGAATAGAGTGGAACGATCACGTCCCTCGATCTGCTGGCTATGCCCCTACTTATACATCCCAAAATGCCATTGGCCTTCTTGGCAACAAGAACACACTGCTGACTCATATCCAGCTTCTCGTCCGCTGTCACCCTTAGGTCCTTTTCCGCAGAACTGCTGCCTAGCCATTCGGTCCCTAATCTGTAGCGGTGCATTGGATTCTTCCGTCCTAAGTGCAGAATCCTGCACTTATCCTTGTTGAACCTCATCAGATTTCTTTTGGCCCAATCCTCCAATTTGTCTAGGTCCCCCTGTATCCTATCCCTACCTGCCACCGTATCTACCACTCCTCCTAGTTTAGTATCATCCGCAAATTTGCTGAGAGTGCAGTCCACACCATCCTCCAGATCATTTATGAAGATATTGAACAAAACCGGCTCCAGGACTGACCCTTGGGGCACTCCACTTGATACCGGCTGCCATCTAGACATGGAGCCATTGATCACTACCCGTTGAGCCCGACAATCTAGCCAACTTTCTACCCACCTTATAGTGCATTCATCCAGCCCATACTTCTTTAACTTGCTGACAAGAATACTGTGGGAGACCGTGTCAAAAGCTTTGCTAAAGTCGAGGAATAACAAGTCCACTGCTTTCCCTTCATCCACAGAACCAGTTATCTCATCATAGAAGGCAATTAGATTAGTCAGGCATGACTTTCCCTTGGTGAATCCATGCTGACTGTTCCTGATCACTTTCCTCTCGTCTAAGTGCTTCAGAATTGATTCCTTGAGGACCTGCTCCATGATTTTTCCGGGGACTGAGGTGAGGCTGACCGGCCTGTAGTTCCTAGGATCATCCTTCTTCCGTTTTTTAAAGATGGGCGCTACACTAGCCTTTTTCCAATCTTCTGGGACTTCCCCCTATCGCCATGAGTTTTCAAAGATAATGGCCAATGGCTCTGCAATCACAGCCGCCAACTCCTTTAGCACTCTCGGATGCAACGCATCCGGCCCCATGGACTTGTGCACGTCCAGCTTTTCTAAATAGTCCCTAACCACTTCTTTCTCCACAGAGGGCTGGCAACCTACTCCCCATGCTGTGTTGCCCAGTGCAGCAGTCTGGGAGCTAACCTTGTTCGTGAAGACAGAGGCAAAAAAAGCATTGAGTACATTAGCTTTTTCCACATCCTCCATCACTAGGTTGCCTCCCTCATTCAGTAAGGGGCCCACACTTTCCTTGGCTTTCTTCTTGTTGCCAACATACCTGAAGAAACCCTTCTTGTTACTCTTAACATCTCTTGCTAGCTGCAGCTCCAGGTGTGATTTCGCCCTCCTGATTTCATTCCTACATGCCCGAGCAACATTTTTTTACTCTTCCCTGGTCATTTGTCCAATCTTCCACATCTTGTAAGCTTCTTTTTTTATGTTTAAGATCCGCAAGGATTTCACTGTTAAGCCAAGCTGATCGCCTGCCATATTTACTATTCTTTCGACACATTGGGATGGTTTGTCCCTATAACCTCAATAGGGATTCTTTGAAATACAGCCAGCTCTCCTGGACTCCTTTCCCCCTCATGTTATTCCCCCAGGGGATCCTACCCATCAGTTCCCTGAGGGAGTCAAAGTCTGCTTTCCTGAAGTCCAGGGTCCGTATTCTGCTGAACTCGACCAACTCATGGTCACTACCTCCCAGATTCCCATCCACTTTTGCTTCCCCTACTAATTCTTCCCGGTTTGTGAGCAGCAGGTCAAGAAAAGCTCTCCTCCTAGTTGGCTCCTCCAGCACTTGCACCAGGAAATTGCACCAGGAAATTTCTGGACCTAGAAGTGTTAAAGCCCCTGACATTCTAATGTTCCAGAACCCTTGGGGATGTCAAAGATTCTAGAACCCTTGTTGTCTTTTGTTTTAGTTTTCAGAACTAAAGTTCTAAGTCTATGACCAATGCTGTAGAGACTAGAACCATTGGGAGTTATAAAACGTTCTGAATCTTAGGGGACTCTCCTCTTCCATGAGCACTGCCAATTAAATTACCAGATCCTTGTATTTTCCAGTTTTTAAACTCTGAAAGCAGAGTTAATGCCTTAAGTAATCCCATGAATGTACTGGATATTTCCCACTGAAAATACAGAACTTGAGACAAGTTAATGGCAAGTTCATGTGAGGATGACTTAGGCTCAGAGAAAGGGGGACCACTGTTCTTTCACCATTCTCACATCTGACCATTCTGACATCCTACGCATACAAAGGCAACCTTAGAGATGCTCAGCGGATGTAAACCAGCATAACTCCGTTAAGGTAAATGGAATGGTGCCGATCTACACCAGCTGAGGATCTGGCCCTTGAGTTTTACTTAGTGAACTAATTCCACTTTGCATTGGTCAAAATCACCCAAGATCACTGGGTGACTTCTGGAAATCACCAGGGATTTCTGGTGACTTTGGCCAATGCAAGGTGGAAAAAGGAGAGGGAGGGGATGGGAATCTGTAGCATGGCTGTAGGTAATGCTAAATCCATTGAGAAAGGGGAACTCTCCCCCCTTTAACCAACTGCCTGAGAAGGGTCCCGTAATATGAGTGTTGCTTACTATCAAGGTGGATGCAGTTCTATGCGATGGGCCTTCTCCAGAGAACATTGCCTCCACTGTTGTGGACTGCACCAAGATTGAGAGTGGAAACATAGGGTTCTTCAGGGTCGGCATTGTTCCGAAATCCCAGGTAAACCATCTCTTTTCTGTATTTCTCTTCCCCTTCTCTCTCTCTTTCCCTTCTCCACTGAGTGGGTACTGGAAGGACAGGGAGGCACCCAGATCCACAAGGAGGCAAAGACATCTCCAACACTCTAGTGCTGGAGAGCCAGGGACTGAGAGTTAGGATGCCCGTGTCCTGTTCCTGAGTCTGATGTGACCCTGGACAAGTCACTTTCCCTCTCTGTGCAAGAGCGTCTCCATCTGTAGCATGGGGTTATGATACTTGCACATTTATGTAAAGTGCTTTGAGATCCAAGGTTGAAAGGTGCCTCATACGTTAGTGCAAAGGGTTTTCCTTATTCCATTATATTAAAAGATGGAGGGGAATCCATTGCCAGTCAGCAGCTGGGACTTTGAAGTGTATGTTCTTCATTTCTGCCAATCCAAGAGTCTTTGAGCTGAAGTGAAGGCTGGGTGCAACTCGCAAGAGAGAGGGGCCAGCCAGTGTGGCTTTAAAAACACTATGGTATCTTGTGATGGCAAAAGAAGTTAGTGCTGTTGCCACTCAATATCCAAGTCCCAATCCTGTTTGTCAACTCTAGGTACTACAGATACTGGAGCAAGTGCAGAGGAAACACATGCAGGGCCATACCAATGGCAGCATTGCAATGGCGGGCCAGAAGAAGCAGCAGCACCTCTCCCATGCCATCTCCAATGGGATACATGCTGCCAGCCCAGAAGAGAGCACATTGACATCATTCACTAACAGTGTGTTCAGCGCTGATGAAGAGGGAGCAAAGCTCTGAGCAACCCAGTTACACATTCACCAGGGAAGGGCTTTCCAGTAAGTGACATGCAGATAAAAATAGAGGATGGAAGAGAGATCCCGGTCTTAGGTGCAGTGAATCCACCCTTCTACGGATATTGCTGAACTGTCCCTGCCTGGGGGTGATTTATAACCCAGGAACGTACACTGTTAGTTTTCATCTTTGGAGTCCACCAGATTTCACCAAATACGATCTATGATCAAACAGTCTTACTGGAGTGATTTACTGGCCCCAGGTCCCTCTTCAAGGGTTTATTCTTCACCCCAATTTGAAGACTGGTCATATGGCCTCTGATTTGGGAAAGTCTTTCTGTTTATGTTACTTATATTGATTTGTTTAGGAGGGAACCCTACATGAAACAAGTGGTGAACCCTGCCCCCCTCCCCAAAATAGATCTTTTCAGAGGCTTGAATCCAGGAGTCATGAGTACAGTGTAAATATCAAGGTTGATAGGAGATGTCCCTGGATGTTGGCACCTTCTTCCAAGAAAGACAGGTACCTAAAGTTTAGCTACTTGGCTCAAAATGAAGATTGCAGAAGTAGTGGAGTTTCAGGAAAGACTCTCCTTTCTGAGGGAATGATATCGCCCTGGGAGCTGACAGTGTCTACACTGCAGGCACATTTTTGAAGGATCAAATGCACTTAAACCTGAGAATGCAGAGCCAGACCCTTGTATTGATTTTTCAGTTTGCTGGCCGAACCAAACAAATGTTTCAGGTCAAAACGGACATTTTAATTTTTAGAATGAAATGTTTTGTTTCAACTTTTAAAAATAAAACTGAGATAAATTTAGAAATGCAAAGTTGTTTCGAACTGAAGAATCAAAACGTTTCACTTTGAAAATGTCAGAATCAAGCATTTCAGTTTTTTTCAACATGAATTCACGAAATGTTTCTGTTGAGCCAAATCTGTGGCTTTCATTGTATACTGTAATGATGCACATTTGTACAGCAAGTTTCATGTCTCTGGTGCAGGTTCTATATGGAGTAGTGGATGCTGAGCTAGGGGAGGAGAACAGGAGATTCAAACTCACATGAGAAATTGTTCACAGGATGAACCCTAGCTGGATATGGAAATTCAGCCGTTATTGTTGCCTTCACCTGCCCTTCCTCTTTCCAGCCAAACAACTCTTGAGCCTGATTCTGATCTCACTTTGATCGGTGTGAAGACTTGATCAAACTCCAGCTAATGTCAATGGAAAGGACCTTGCTGACTTCAGTGGGAGTTTGATTGGTCTTTGAACTGGGTGTTAAATTCAGTGAGGTCTGTGGAATTATAGTAGTATACATTTCACAAATCCAGAGGATCGGTGCTACACCCGCAGCTTTGGAAAAGTCTCTTGGAGGAACACATCTGATGTGCCAGACCCCCAAGGGGTCTCACTCTTCCATCGTGGTAGGCCAGGTGGCTTCACTGCCTCCTTAGACTGAGTCTCTGGGGCTCCAGCACTCCTGCTTCACATCCTGAGCTCCATCCAGCAAGTGCAACTGCTGAAATAGACTCCTGGTAGAGAGTTGTACACGCCTCAGGGATTAGTGCACCTCACCCAGTGTTTACAGTGACAGTCAGGCAGTGTTGTCAAAATAGTCGAGTTTATCAGTAAACTAGAACACACCATAAGAAGTCCTTAGGTTAGCACAGAGAAATAAAGGTTAAAACAGAGTCCATTCTGGTTAGCCCAGAGCCCAACCAAGCTGTAGTGAGGCTCCATTTTCGCATATCCCCCACCTCACACCTCTCAGGCTTTTGTTCTTAACCTGGGGGCTTTGCTCAGCTTCCCTGCTGAGAGACAGGGAAATCCATGAATCATTGGAGCTTGCATTGTCTCTCTGGCCCCCTTGTTGATTTGGGTCAGGTTCAACCAGTTCCAACTCTCCATCCCCTCCCGGCAGGGAGTTGACACTCACCTATGTAGCTTAGTCTGCCCTGAGAGCAAATTTAATCCCTTCCCTGCGACTGGATAACAATGTGGCATATGGGGAAACTGAGACACACATAGGATTCATAAAAAATATTACAACAGTTCCCACTTTGTTACACTACTGAGAGCACAATTAGGCCTTCTTGACTTGTTGAGGAGAGGCAAAGACAGAATGTTGTATAATTGACTTAGTTAATTTATTTTGCAGAGTTTCTCACTGTAACTGGTTTTTTTTACTGATTTTTCAAAAAACCAATAAAACATTTCTAATAAAATATACAGCTTGTAACACTGAACAGCATTACAATGCATGGTGATATCAGACCATCTGCAAACCAGGAACCATGGCTCTGAAATGAATTTAAACACTTCAAAGTGTGGTGGAAAAATTAACCACGCGTTGTGATTGGCTCAGAACCATGCCTGAGGCTCCATTATTGATTACAAGCGCAGGGGGGTAACAGCTCTAAGTAGCTGCCCCCCCCCCCCGATGCAAAGCACACACAGCTTTTTAAAGCTTAAAACCACAGACAAATTACACAGACTTTCGACTTAATTACCTTATTTGGAATATAGGAAAACAAGCTTTTCCTGTTATTGACAGGTGTTCTTTTGCGGTTAACATTTCTTAAGCTGTGCTGCTGCAATTGCCTTACAATGGAATTTTCCACACTTTTTTCTTATGCTTCATATACACAGTTAGCTTGACCAAAGTTTTAGGCCTACTTGGGAAGTTTAGGACTACTTGGGTCCACTGAATTTTTCCTCCACAACAGTGCCCTAATCTGTTATCCAGATACCCCTCAAGAATGTAGGGAATTGTTCATACCTTCCACAAGAGCTGCCCATGTCTCAAATAGGAGAGAGGTCATAGATAACATCAAAATTCATCTGTGGGACGGTTTCAATAGGATTGCACTTTGAATGTAAACTCTTTGGGGCCTTTTGTTCTGTGTTTGTACAGCACCTAGCACAATGGGGTCCAGGTCCAGGACTAGGGCTACTAGGTGCTAATAATATGCTAATAGTATGCTAATAATAATGCCCCTGGGATGAAGTGGGCCCCATTCCTTCACCAGGTTACATAACAAGCAGGCATCTCTGAAGAAGATAAAGTCCAAGGTGAGGCGTTTCTGAAGATGGTTAACCCAGAAAGGTACCTAAGTATCCCAGACCTCTTCCCCAAGGACATCTAATAGGGAGTCCCAATGGAGAGGTTCTGGATTCATGGTTGTTATGCACCTTGAATAGTCATTTATACCAGTGAGTTCAAAGTGGGTTGAAAACTGGCCCCTCTCAAAAAACGCAGTCTGGATCCTTTCCTCCTCTTCAGGACAGCTCTCATTGGCCAAGTGGCCAACCCCCATGATGTTAAATTATGTCCTTGGCCTCCTTTAAACCCTTAAGTCCAACTGGAAAGACTCACAATTGCCTCATGTTGCTCAACAGTGTCCTCTTCTGGCTCTGTAGAGAAGAGTGTTAATGAGCTCCAGAGGGCTTCCCTTCCAGCCCTGCTCAGTGGGAAGGGTGTTCGGTGTACCACAGGGCCACAGGCCAGGTAGGGGATGAAGGGGATGGTTAGGGAGCTCAGAACTCCATCAGAGGGAGGTGATTCAAGTATACCATGACATCATCAGTGATGAGCACATAAGTCCATAGGTTTAGAAGGTCCATAGGTTCATTTTGGTTCCATCTCTGAATATCTTGGGCCTGAAAACTTTGGCTGGAAATCACATATGAGATTTCCAACACTTCCTCTTCCTGGCTAGGGTTCCAGAAGGGCCTTTCCAGCAGCACTTTGACCTTTGCAGTCCCAGGAGTGCAGAGGCAGCCATGACAATGAAAAAAAAACCCCAACACAAACAAGTATTTGTCATTCTCAGGAAAGATCAGCTTCACCATCTGCTCCCTCGTATCTGATCTGTTGGCAATGTTAGGGGCACTGGGCATGGCCACTAGGTAACTCGAGGGGATGGAAGACCATGAGGGTCGATGAAGCCCCCTCGCACTAGGCCCAAGTGACCTTGGCCCCCCCGCCTGGAGGCACTCGCAGCAATCATGCTGAGCATTCTGCAACAATATGTTGCAAGCGCAGACTGACTGAAACTGAACAAGGCCAGACAGGGCAGATATGGCAAAACAATGCTGAACAAAACAACTCCATATATAGTTTAACAGATGGTACAAAGAAAAAAGGCACAAGCTGGTATATCGGATTGGCTGGCTATATGGATACTTAGGGCAGCTTGTTATTAAATAAGTATGCTAAAAAAAAAGGATGTATAAAAGCCTGTGTAACTTCCTGCTCTGGGTGCGGGATTTGAGATTAATGTCTCCCTGTACCACTTGAAGTTTCAAATAAACTTTTCCGCTTCTCCACCCCGTTGTGATTATTGGGCGACTCACACTGGGCAATGAACCCTGCTGTTGCTTGCCTCGGGCACTCTGTGCCGGCAACAGCTTTTGGCGTCCCTGGGTGGGCGACGAGGCTGCTATTTAGCCTTGGCCGGACCCCTCCTGGCGGTCGAGGATTACGGCAACAACCGACGCCCAGTGCACACCAGTGAGTTCATCGGGGACCTCGGAGGAGATGCGATTTGATGGACCCCGGAGGGCACAACGGTGCAACGCACTCATATAGTGGAGAAGCAGCTGCGGGTGACAGTGGGGAACCGGTCTCTTGGATAAGGTAGGTTTCAGAGTAACAGCCGTGTTAGTCTGTATTCGCAAAAAGAAAAGGAGTACTTGTGGCACCTTAGAGACTAACCAATTTATTTGAGCATGAGCTTTTGTGAGCTACAGCTCACTTCATCGGATGCATGCCGTGGAAACTGCAGCAGACTTTATTTATACACAGAGAATATGAAAAAATACCTCCTCCCACCCCACTGTCCTGCTGGTAATAGCTTATCTAAAGTGATCATCAGGTGGGCCATTTCCAGCACAAATCCAGGTTTTCTCACCCTCCACCCCCCCACTCAAATTCACTCTCCTGCTGGTGATAGCCCAGCCAAAGTGACAACTCTTTACACAATGTGCATGATAATAAAGTTGGGCCATTTCCTGCACAAATCCAGGTTCTCTCACCCCCTCACCCCCCTCCCAAAAACCACACACACAAACTCACTATCCAAACTCACTGACTTCCTAAGGAAACTTCAATCCATCGGTGATCTTCCTGATAACACCATCCTGGCCACTATGGATGTAGAAGCCGTCTACACCAACATTCCACACAAAGATGGACTACAAGCCGTCAGGAACACTATCCCCGATAATGTCACGGCTAACCTGGTGGCTGAACTTTGTGACTTTGTGCTTACCCATAACTATTTCACATTTGGGGACAATGTATACCTTCAGATCAGCGGCACTGCTATGGGTACCCGCATGGCCCCACAGTATGCCAACATTTTTATGGCTGATTTAGAACAACGCTTCCTCAGCTCTCGTCCCCTAAAGCCCCTACTCTACTTGCGCTATATTGATGACATCTTCATCATCTGGACCCATGGAAAAGAAGCCCTTGAGGAATTCCACCATGATTTCAACAATTTCCATCCCACCACCAACCTCAGCCTGGTCCAGTCCACACAAGAGATCCACTTCCTGGACACTACAGTGCTAATAAACAATGGTCACATAAACACCACCCTATACCGGAAACCTACTGACCGCTATTCCTACCTGCATGCCTCCAGCTTTCACCCTGACCACACCACACGATCCATCGTCTACAGCCAAGCTCTGCGATACAACCGCATTTGCTCCAACCCCTCAGACAGAGACAAACACCTACAAGATCTCTGTCAAGCTTTCTTACAACTACAATACCCACCTGCTGAAGTAAAGAAACAGATTGATAGAGCCAGAAGAGTTCCCAGAAGTTACCTACTACAGGACAGGCCTAACAAAGAAAATAACAGAACGCCACTAGCCGTCACCTTCAGCCCCCAACTAAAACCCCTCCAACGCATTATTAAGGATCTACAACCTATCCTAAAGGATGACCCAACACTCTCACAAATCTTGGGAGACAGGCCAGTCCTTGCCTACAGACAGCCCCGCAATCTGAAGCAAATACTCACCAACAACCACATACCACACAACAGAACCACTAACCCAGGAACTTATCCTTTCAACAAAGCCCGTTGCCAATTGTGCCCACATATCTATTCAGGGGACACCATCACAGGGCCTAATAACATCAGCCACACTATCAGAGGCTCGTATACTTGCACATCCACCAATGTGATATATGCCATCATGTGCCAGCAATGCCCCTCTGCCATGTACATTGGTCAAACTGGACAGTCTCTACGTAAAAGAATAAATGGACACAAATCAGATGTCAAGAATTATAACATTCATAAACCAGTCGGAGAACACTTCAATCTCTCTGGTCACGCAATCACAGACATGAAGGTCGCTATCTTAAAACAAAAAAACTTCAAATCCAGACTCCAGCGAGAAACTGCTGAATTGGAATTCATTTGCAAATTGGATACTATTAATTTAGGCTTAAATAGAGACTGGGAGTGGCTAAGTCATTATGCAAGGTAGCCTATTTCCTCTTGTTTTTTCCTACCCCCCCCCCCCCCAGATGTTCTGGTTTAACTTGGATTTAAACTTGGAGAGTGGTCAGTTTGGATGAGCTATTACCAGCAGGAGAGTGAGTTTGTGTGTGTATGGGGGTGGGGGGGATGTGAGAAAACCTGGATTTGTGCTGGAAATGGCCCACCTTAATTATGCACATTGTAGGGAGAATGGTCACTTTGGATGAGCTATTACCAGCAGGATAGTGAGTTTGTGTGTGTGGTTTTTGGGAGGGGGGTGAGGGGGTGAGAGAACCTGGATTTGTGCAGGAAATGGCCCAACTTTATTATCATGCACATTGTGTAAAGAGTTGTCACTTTGGCTGGGCTATCACCAGCAGGAGAGTGAATTTGAGTGGGGGGGTGGAGGGTGAGAAAACCTGGATTTGTGCTGGAAATGGCCCACCTGATGATCACTTTAGATAAGCTATTACCAGCAGGACAGTGGGGTGGGAGGAGGTATTTTTTCATATTCTCTGTGTATAAATAAAGTCTGCTGCAGTTTCCACGGCATGCATCCGATGAAGTGAGCTGTAGCTCACGAAAGCTCATGCTCAAATAAATTGGTTAGTCTCTAAGGTGCCACAAGTACTCCTTTTCTTTTTGGATAAGGTAGGAACCTCTTGAAATCTGGATTGTATGCTCTGTTGGAACCTGGGGACGCCCAGAGTTACCCTGTAGGTATGAGACAGGGACAGAGCTCGCGAGGTAGGGCACAGTGTACGCCCTTAGAGTGTATCCTAGCAAACTGGAAGGTATTTGGTTCGGATCCAATGACTAAGAGTCAATTAAAACAATTCTGTATGGTTGACTGGCCTCAATATCAACTGGAGGACCAGGAGAGGTGGCCACAGGGAGGGTCAATTAATTACAACACGATCCTCCAGTTACTCCTGTTCTGTCAGCAAACAAAAAAATGGAATGAACATATGTATGCGCATTTGTTTCTGGCTTTATGTACTTGAACAGGTATTTTACAGCAATGTAATTTGACTCCGACTGGTTTGGTAGCAGCTACTGTTAGTCCCCAGACCCCCACCCCCACTCTAATGGCAGATCTAGTGTCCCCTTTGGCCCCCACACTCCCACCTTATAAGGGTAGGATGCCTCAGGTTACAGAGATTGCCCCCTTGGTGGGACTCTATCCTTTGATTACCGAGACTGTTGTGGCTTGCCCAGGGGCAGACGGACATCAGGCTACCACCATGCAAGTTTACACCCATGTGCCATTCAATCCAATAGACTTAGCAGCTTTTACAACACAGACTGGGGAATTCTCCACGAACCCAAGCTGGTTTATTTCAGTCTTTGAGGAGTGCCTCAGTAGTCACAAGCCGGATTGGGACAACTGTAATATCCTCCTGAGAACCCTGTTGTCTGAGGTAGAGCGAAATCAGGTTACAGCTAAGGCAAGGGGAGCGTCACCTTTCAAGTGAAAGAAAGGAAGCTATCTGTTAAGTCCCTACCCCAAGCACTCGTAAACGGCTCAGAGCTTTTCTGGGTATGGCAGACTTTTGCAGGATATGGATCCCAGATTTTGGACTATGGGCTAAACCCCTGTACGACTGTGTAAAAGGAGCAGATCATGACCCCTTTTATTGGACCCCAGAGGCCGACAGGGCATTTAAAATCTTAAAAAGAAAGCTGATAAAAGCTCCAGCTCTGGGCCTGCCGGATCTCTCTAAGCCATTTCAATTGTATATACACGAACAAAAAGGGGTGGCCCTGGGAGTGCTAACCCAGTTGTTGGGGACCTGGAAACGTCCTGTGGCTTATTTTTCTAAGCAACTGGATCAGGTTGCAAAGGGTTGGCCGGCATGTTTACGGGCAGTCACAGCTACTGCCCTAGTGCTTGAGGAAGCCGAGAAGCTAACATTGGAAGGGGTTATGCAAATCTATACTCCCCATATGGTCCGAGCCCTGCTAGACACAAAGGGTGGGCTCTGGCTCACCCAGGCTTGGATTGCTCGGTGTCAGGCTAAGCTGTTAGAGAACCCTGAAGTCACCTTACAGCCTTGCCCCTCCCTTAACCCTCTTGCCAGAAACAGAGGAACAGGAACACGACTGTTTAGAGATCATAGATGCCCAATACTCCAGCCGTCCGGACTTAAAGGATGTACCCCTCCCAAATGCAAATTATGAGTGGTACACTAATGGTAGCAGTACTGTAATAGATGGGCAAAGCAGGGCAGGTTATGCTTTTGTGACCCTCCATGACACTGTGGAAGCCGAAGGTTTGCCCGCAGGGACCTCTGCCCAGCTTGCCGAACTAGTAGCCCTGACCCGTGCACTCGAACTGTCAAAAGGAAAGCGGGTCAACATTTTTACCGATTCAACGTATGCTTTTGGAGTGCTGCATGCTCACGCTGGCCTATGGAAGCAAAGGGGAATGCTGACAGCCCAAGGCTCCCCAGTCAAGTACTGGCACCAAATCCTCCGGCTCCTAGAAGCCGTACAACTCCCCTCGGAAGTGGCGGTGGTACACTGTAAAGCCCATCAAAGAGAAAATCAAGATGTGGCCAGAGGTAACGCCCGGGCAGATAGAGAGGCTAAGCATGCTGCCACCCTGCCATCCCCTCAGACTGAGAACGCCCATATGTATGCCCTTATCCCATCATTAGGGGAGCTTCCAACCCCTCAGTACTCTGGGGAGAAAAGACAGCTAACTGACAAACTCGGTTTCTGGGAAAAGGAGGGATGGCTCCATTCCCCGGAAGGGAAGGTCCTCCTACCGGAGGGCCTGATCCGGCCGGTGTTGCAGAAACTACATCAAACCACTCACGCTGGCAGGGAAGCACTTATCCAACTAATGGGAAAATACTTTATCACATCCGGACTCCGACCCCTGGCTGCCCAGGTACAAGTGGACTGCTTAGTCTGCCAAAAGAATAACCCCCGACCGGGACATCCTGTGCCACCAGCTGCCCTAGAACCCACTGTGGGCCCCGAACGGGTGTGGCAAATAGATTTTAATGAGTTCCTCCGAACCCAAGGGTTCAAATATCTCCTTGTCTTAGTGGATCGGTTCAGCGGATGGCCAGAAGCCTTCCCATGCTGTAATTGCACTGCCAGAACAGTGGCCCTCAAGTTTGTTAAGGAGATCACTCCTCGCTTTGAACTCCCCCAGTGAATGGAATCTGACAGTGGGACACACTTCACGTCAAAAATCATCCAAAGCATCTCAAATGCCTTACAGATCCCCTGGAAACTCCATACGCCTTGGAGACTGCAAGCCAGTGGGGTAGTGGAGCGTACCAATCAGACCTTTCAACGACATCTCTCAAAAGTGTGCCAAGAGGCCTCCTTGCGGTGGCCTGATGCTTTGCCCTTCGTCCTGCTCCGTGTCCGCACTCTCCCGAAGGGTAAATTAGGGCTTAGTCCCTTTGAAATTATGTTTGAAAGGGCATGGCCTATGAATGGCACCCCGGTTCTGTCAGGGGTATGGGAGTTGGGTAATGGTTTTTTGTCATAGTATATGTGTTCCCTGTCTGCTGTTCTCTTGTCTCTTCACAGGTATACTAAGGATTCCCAGCCTCTCCCCTTGGACTCTCCCGTCCACTCCTTACAGCCCAGCGACTCCATGCTTGTTTGTACCTGGAAAGACAAGCCTCTCCAGGAAAAGTAAAAAGGACCCTATACCGTCCTGCTCATCTTCCATAAGGCGGCAAAGGTCGAGGGACACAAAAACTGGATCCATCACTGTCATCTGAAGGCAGTACCCGCCCCCTCGTCAGCAGAACAGTGGACCGTCCAACCTGCTGACTCCTCATCTAGTAACGATCTCGGGCTAAAGCTACTGTTTAAAAGACACAAATAGTGGGCACCTTAATGCCAAAATGGGCCCACCCAGGTACTGGAGACCCTGGGCTAAAAAAACTCTGGTAATAATTAATTGGATAATATTGTTATTCTCTGTATTGGTATTTCCAAACTGTGCATATCGGGAGCATAACTCCTTTGTTTTACTTGCGCACCATGTTGCTACTTTAACAAACCAGACTGATTGCTGGGTATGTGCTCCAACTCCACTGTCCCCCAAAACGGGAATGCCCCTTGACATGCTGCCTTTAAACCTAGCAGAATTAGCCGCCACTAAAAAGCAGGAAAAAACGAACTCACCGTTCTGGAACAAGACCTGTTTACAGCAAGCCACCTACCAGGAGTATTCAATTGCAGTACTCACTGAGGGAGTATTTTGTTTCACCCAAAACCAATCTGATCACTATGGGCGTCCTGTGGGAAAGAGCTCCTGTGTTATTACACAGTGGGCTGATGGGTATTGGATAAAGACCAAGAGGGGAGGTCAGCAGTGTGGGTGTAATGGTTCCTCCCCTTTTGGGAAAACTCTTACGAATAATCGTACCACAAAAGAAGGGTTTGGAAATATAACTTGCTGTTCAGTTAATATCTCCAATGTAGCAGGCCAAGGGTGGGTTTGCAGTGGTCCCTATGGCAAGTGTACTGTAAATGGCACAACTAGAAACACCCCCACTTGTACCCAATCAAAGAATAAAAAGCCCCCTTAGGGGCATATAAACTGTTTGGAAAAGCAGCCTTAAATATCCCAGGAATCCCCTTAAGAAACAGTCCTTACTGGGCCCTACAGGGTCACTATTTCGTATGTGGCCGAAAGGCTTACAAGGTGCTGCCAGCCAACTGGACACGTAGCTGTTATATAGCTCATGGAGTTCCTCATCTGTCAATAACTACCACACTGCCCAAAAAAAATAATTAGTAATGCCCAAGATACCTCTGTTGAGTCACAAGAAGAGACCCTGCGGCGACTAACTGCAGCACTGGAGGGCAATATAAAAAATCCCTTCACAACCGAAAAGCTTGTAGGGTGCTCTATACTGGGAATAGCGCCACTGTTTACAGGACCAGCCATGGCATGCATAGGCCGCTATACTGTAAGGCTGCAAATGGTACTTTAAAAAGTTGGCTTAAAGTTAAAGGACTCAATTAGAAATTTAAGGTCAGCAGTAAAAACATTAAATAAAAAGGTACAGCAGCTCAGGATATTTTCCCTCCAAAACAGGCTGGCTTTGGACTATCTCTTGGCATCCCAAGGAGGGGTTTGTGCCCTCGTCGGGCCCCTATGTTGTGTATATATAAATAATAGCAGTTATAAAATCTATGACAAGGTGGTACAGGCTAAGGCCCATGCCCGAGCCGGAGCACAGGTTGCCTATACTGCCCCTGAGAGCGATTGGTTGCTAATCTTGTTTTCAGGCTGGGGTTTGTCGTCTTGGCTTGCTGGTTTATTTAGCCTGTTATTGAAATGTCTCTTTCCTGTATTGCTTGTATTAATGGTATTATGCTGTGCAGTATCATGTGTCAAGACCCTTTTGCAAAAGTTAATAAGTCATTCTCTTCAGGGCTATCACAAAGTGCTTATGCAAAGTCCTATTATAAAAAAATAAGTAGCCCAAGTGAAAAAACTCAGAGCTAACACTGTTGAGTGTTCTCAGAGAAGGGAGTTGTTGGGGGCACTGGGCATGGCCACTAGGTAACTCGAGGGGATGGAAGACCATGAGGGTCGATGAAGCCCCCTCGCACTAGGCCCAAGTGACCTTGGCCCCCCCGCCTGGAGGCACTCGCAGCAGTCATGCTGAGCATTCTGCAACAATATGTTGCAAGCGCAGTCTGTCTGAAACTGAACAAGGCCAGACAGGGCAGATATGGCAAAACAATGCTGAACAAAACAACTCCATATATAGTTTAACAGATGGTACAAAGAAAAAGGGCACTAGCTGGTATACCGAATTGGCTGGCTATATGGATACTTAGGGCAGCTTGCTATTAAATAAATATGCTAAAAAAAAATGTATAAAAGTCTGTGTAACTTCCTACTCTGTGTGCAGGATTTGAGATTAATGTCTCCCTGTACCACTTGACGCTTCAAATAAACTTTTCCACTTCTCCACCCCGTTGTGATTATTGGGCGACGCATACCGGGCAACGAACCCTGCTGTTGCTTGCCTCGGCACTCTGTGCCAGCGACAGCAATGAGATCTTAAAATGGGCCTGTTGGCATTGCAACTGAGTCTAGCACTGTACCAGATGGACTAGTTCAGCTGGAAAGCATGATATGAGATCCACCTCTTCAGGGAACCAGTCCTAGGAGGGGAGGGACACAGGGGCAAGGGAACAGGGTGAGTTGAAGTCCTGCATACCAAAACCATATTTGATCAAATCATCCCTGAGCGCAAAGGCCTCTAGTCACACTGACAAAATACAAATACTGTCAATCCTTGTAGAGGGCAGCAAGTAGCCTTTGACTTTTCCAGCTCAGGGAATGATCAAGCCAATGGAGGAGACACCCCAAATTCATCTCCCTGGAAAAAACCAAACAGCTAGAGGCTAGTAGCAGAGAACAGTTCTGTGTCCCAGTGAACCCACCCCAGATGAAGTGCAGTTCAGAGCACACCAGCTTTGAAAGGGCTCTCTATTATTTGTTGGAAGATTTCCCTTAGTTCTAGGTCTCAGTCCTCATGCGACAGGGAGAGAGCTATCATGTTAGCCAGCACTCTGGTCACTATTAATACTATTTAGGTTCTCCTGGAGAAGGACAGAGATGTATTTGATTAGCGGGCTAGTGAATCAATGAGCCAATTAGTTCATTATCAAAGAAGCTGTACAGAAGGAGTGCTGAGCAGGGAAGAGAAGGAGAGAAACAGGGAGACAGAAGGCTAGGAGGGCCTGACAAAGGGGTCCTCTGCAGAGAGACACCTTACCTCCCCCCTCGTTTGGGGAAGGTGTTAGAAAGCTGAGATACAGTGTAAAGGTATGGAGACATTGATATGTGCTGATGAAGGGATTAAACACTAAATAACCTACATGGAGTGTTCACAAACAAGGCCTCAGAGTCATCTCTGTGGGTGGAAGAGATGGGGGTGTAGAACACTGTCCTGTCACACACCATCTTCAAAGGGCTTTGTGGCATGGGCCCAGGATATCTCAAAGACCCTGTAAAGCTCTGAGATGAAGAGCATGGGTGAAAATTTAGCTCCTCTGGCACCTTGGAGCTCTCTACAGTAAGTGTAAAGCTCATCTGTGTGAGAGACAGAGCTTTCTCAGGGGCTGGCCCTAGGCTGTGGAATGAACTGCCCCAGGAACTAAAGGCCATCACAGAGTTCAAAACCTTCCGCTCCAAATGCAAGGTGCTTGGCTCTGACTGGCCTTCTCTAGTATAAATACGTAGTGTGAAGATGGGGTGTGTACCTCATACTGGCACTAAAAGGGTCAACAGGAGCTAGAGAAGCCAGTTATGCTACCTGGCTGCATCTGGAGGGTGAGCCAGGCCTCATTAAAGATGAAGCCCAGCTGGGGAAGCAGCTGGCTGGTTTCTGTTAGGATATAGATATTCAGGCCTTTCGGTAAAGGCCTATACGCTAAGAATATAGGTGTATTCTTATCACTTGGCTAGTTAGGGGTATAAAAGAAAGAATCAAAATCACTGTCTGCCAGTGTAAGGTCCTTCTCTTACTGCGACAGTCTGAGGCCCTGTTCTTAGGCTAAGATCTTTGGCAAGGCAGCAGAGGCAGCCATAAGCTGGGAAGCGAATGGTCACATCCTCACATTCCAAACTAGTCACATTGAAATAAGGTGCTATTGGGCTGTTAGGAATACAATCCTGTCCTGATAATGCCTATCACCTCCAGAGAAAGGTAAGTGCCTAGAAGATGTAAAAGGAAACTTAGTTTGATAGCATCCTGTCTGGCAAGAACTCACTTATCAATAGCTGGGATGTGAAATCCTCACTTCTGTATTGTTTTGTCATTATAGTTCCCACTTTGCCATTGTTTATCTGTATAATCTCCGTCTGGTTCTGTGATTGTTCCAGTCTGCTGTATAATTAATTTTGCTGGGTGTAAACTAATTAAGGTGGTGGGATATAATTGGTTACATAATCATGTTACAATATGTTAGGATTGGTTAGTTAAATTTCAGGAAAACGATTGGTTAAGGTATGGCTAAGCAGAACTCAAGTTTTACTATATAATCTGGAGTCAATCAGGAAGTGTGTGTGTGTGTGGGGGGGGAATAGGAACAGGGAATGGGGGTAGGGAAATTAGACTCATGTTTTGCTAAAGGGGGAAATGGGAACAGGGAATGGGGGTGGGGAAATTGGAATCATGTTTGGCTAAGGGTGGAAATGGGAACAGGGACACAGGTGTAAGGCTCTGTGGTGTCAGAGCTGGGAAGGGGGACACTAAGGAAGGAAACTGGAATTATGCTTGTTGGAAGTTCACCCCAATAAACATTGAATTGTTTGCACCTTTGGACTTCGGGTATTGTTGCTCTCTGTTCATGCGAGAAGGACCAGGGAAGTAAGTGGGTGAAGAAATAAGCCCCCTAACAGTTTCTATAACAAGAGGAAGCTCAGAGTAGAAAGGGGTGCAGGGTGAGATGGCAGAAGCCTCCAGTCTCTCTGTAACTAGCAGGGAAGGGAACCTGGAGAGATACAGAGATGCCACCCAGGTGTCACATGCTCCAGTGGTAAGCCCTGACAGAAGGGCAGGACTGGGGAAGAAACCCATGGAGATGTTCCAGTGAAGAGAGGCTTCAGGAGGGAGTTTACACCCTGGGATGGGCCCTGATGGAAGAGGACAGTGGCAGGGTGAAGCAGACTCCTGGCGTGGGCCTGAGAGAAGCCACCCCAGAGACAGATGGCCTTAACGGTGGACTGGAGCAGAGCAAGACTCCAGGGAAGTAACCCCTAAGAGGCAGCATTCTGCAGAAGCACAGAGAGCTGGGGAGGAGCCCCTGAGGAGGGGCATAAGTTGCTTTTGTTGTGGTTTGTGGTTTGCTTTTGAGTTTGGTTTAAAGCCTGGGGCCCCTGGTCTGACGGAGGAGTGGGACAGAAGAGGGGCCCTGCAGAAGAGCTCAGACTGATGACTAGTGTCACAGGGGACATTGATACCCCTGAAGGGGAGAGACTTTAAAGTGACCTGGCCAGAGGGCTGAATCATGAGAAGAGAGACCACCATAACGAGTCAGAGCAGCTGTCAGCAGTGGGGGCTAGATAAGGGAAGAGCTGCTACGCCACGCCCGGCCACGAGGCGGCGCCTGTAGTGAGTCCCCTCTGTCCCACATAGCAACAGAAGAAAACACTCCATTGCATGTACATCTCTCCCTTGGGGGAGGAGGAGAGAACAAACAGTGCGTGACATGTGGCTGTGACACTACTTAATGCTTTACTGGAAGTGGGTAGCTTTGTGGCTTGGCAAGCTTGTGATCGTAAGCAGGATCCGGATCCAGGAGGTGACCTCAGCTCAGGGCACTTTCTTGGGAGAACTGCAGGTGGCTTTGGCATCTGGGATAGAGTTGAGTCATTTGGGGGGCAGTTATAGGGGTCTGGCACGAGAATGTGAGATGAGGTTGGATCACTTTGGGGTGAAGGTAGACTAGCTGGTTAGATTTGTCAATTAGAAAGTGGCTTAAAGTCACTTGTTAGGAATGCTGCCAGTGTAAGCTCCCTCAGGGCAAGGATCAGGATCAGAGGCATGGGCCAGACTGCCTGTTGCCTTGTGCTGCATGTCATCACTTACATTGGTGTAAAGTGGGTGTACGCTATCACTAGTCTGATTTGCAAAAAGAAAAGGAGTACTTGTGGCACCTTAGAGACTAACCAATTTATTTGAGCATGAGCTTTCGTGAGCTACAGCTCACTTCATGATGAAGTGAGCTGTAGCTCACGAAAGCTCATGCTCAAATAAATTGGTTAGTCTCTAAGGTGCCACAAGTACTCCTTTTCTTTTTGCGAATACAGACTAACACGGCTGTTCCTCTGAAACTAGTCTGATTTGGCGATGTTTCACACCTACTTTGCATTCATTTTGGACTGGCATAAATGACTCAACGAGGTGCAAAGTAACACAGATTCCGGCCTAATGACCCTGGTTCTCCTCTGCTTTACACTGTTGTAACTCCATTGACTTCACTGGAGATGCTCCCAAGTTACTCGTCTAGCTAAGAAGAAAGTTCTACTCGATTCCTTCAGGGTATTTGCCTTTGCCAGGACATAGGCTTTAACCATGAACTTGGCAGGGCATTAGTTATAACTGTAAAAGCCAAATTGCAGCATGCCTTGTGGTACTCCAGTCTCTGAGAACCCTGAATGCCTAGGATACTTCTGATAACTAAAAGACAGAGTGGTCTAGTTACATACATCACTGAAAAATAAGGTCCTTAGAGCGCCATTGAAGCAACTCCAGTTTACATCAGCTCAATATTGTAGTTAAGGGGGTGCTCCATCAGTTTGTCTATGGCTGACCTGCAGTAGCTTATAGTCCTTGGATGGGAGGCCACAGTAGAAATGGCCCTGATTAACCTATGTTCTCCAAGAATAAAGCCAGGACTACAAGGCTGATCACAGATGAGAATCTGTGGTACTGATGCCACAGTTAAGGCTGAAAATCTTTCCAGCTGATTTTTGAGCCACCTACTTAGTTCCACAATAAAAGGTCTTTGCTCCATGAAATTCTTCATGCACTGTCTCCTATCAGAGGAGATTTGTTCTCTTTCATTCATTCATTTTGCAAAGTTTGAGGTGCTTGGCACCAGCCATTTGTGAGATGTGTGAATTTAAAATATGGCTGGTACCAGTGCTTTACTCTTGGAGTAGCCTTCTGCATGGGTAGCTCCTGAGCCTGCGTCTGCTCTGGGCACCCTTATCACAGGGCATAAAGGGCTCTGGCCCCTCCAGCTCACATGTGAATTTCAGTGAGTTGTTTGTATGGGACAATGTAATGTCAATATGATCCATGAGTCAGAGAACAGAGATGTTTGGAGGAAGATAGCACCAGCAGCCTGGGCTTATCTTTCTGTCCTGCTGTGAACACCCTCTCTATAATTACACGTGATTATTGTTCAGTGCTATCAACTAC